GCATCTTTATCAATATTAGGTGGCCTTTGTTTTTGCATAATATCCAAGCACCCATTCGTAGACGGAATCGAACAACATAATCAATGGCAACCACAGCCAGCTTGCCAAATCCCATAATAGAGGGGCAGTGGTGGCGGCAGCTTCCAAAATGGTACAGCTGAAATGAGCTTCCAAAATAGGAGAGATGCTTTTCAAAATATTCATTACACAAAACAACAGCAGCAGCAGCAACAACAGCAACAACAGCAACAACAACAACTGCAACAATACAAAACAGCAAGTAAAAGAAATGAACGCTTATGCTGGCGAAAATGAAAGTAAAATTAATTTTATTTTGATATTTTTTTCAAGTCGTGCTGCTTTTTGCCTCTCATTATGCCCGCCACTGCGGCTTCTTGGCCATTTTTTGGCGATGATGTCAACATAATTTCTCCACCTACACAGCAGGTCGCATGCCAAGCGGCCCGACCCGGCCCGAGTCAATCCGACCCCGTCAGCCGATGGTTAAACATGCTTATAGCTTTTAATTTAGGGCTCGGACTCTCTTATATAAGCACGTCTCTGCTCCAATAACAACAATTTGTTTGGTGGACCAAAAGACAATTTCTGATTGCGTTCGTGCCTTCGGTCTTTTGTTTTGCATGGAGCCTCGGCAGGAAGTGGGCCGTGAGCGAAATAAAAAGATCTGATTTCCATCAAAACCACATAAAAATAAATAAATGTAAGTGGTAAGAAAAAAGGTAAAGAGTTTCGTGAAAATTCGTAGCACAATGGAAAAAGATAATAGAAGTGTGAAAGATTTACAAGACAGCGACTTGGCAGTAACTTCATTTACAACCAAACCCACTCCGCCCCAACTGACATAACCGAGGGGCGAACAAATGATTTACAAGCCAAACGCCGACATAAAAACCAAAGTGAAGCCAAAACCCGCTGCAAGTGGTCATCAGAAAGTCTACGAGCATCCCAAACAAAAATGAAATGCAACAAATGATAATTATGAGCACGCTGTATCATTGTGTTATGGCTGCTGTTGTTGTTGGTGCTGCTACTAATAAAGAAAAGCTAAAAAGGTAAAACTCTGAAGAAAAGAGTGAAACAGGGAGCATTACAGCGCACAGCTGTGCCAACCAGCAACACGTCCGTAAAAATTTACTATACTTGTATATACACACCATAGGTATAGTGTCTATTTCGACGGCCTGACTTTTTGTTTTTGCATCTCTGCTGCTATTTTGGTTTTATGGCCCGGCTGTTTCTTTATTTTTTTCCTTAATTTTCTTGTGGTGCCATCGCAACGCGCGTCATAACATAATTTCTTAATTGCTTGGGGTCAGCCCGGAGCTTGAGTTTGGGGCGCGCAACACAGCGTGAGATTTCGTCAAATAAATAGGCACGCATGACGTGACGTTGTGGATTATAGTATGATGATGATTAAGATGATGACGATTACGATGATTTGTTGCTTTTGACTTCCATCTCTTACATACAAGTACATGCACGAGTATAATATATCGAGCTATTTACTAAATGCATCAGTGAACTGAATCAAATACAAGTATTATATAAACTTTACGACCTCAAACCTATCATAAGCAGCTAATTGTAAATCAAGCTAAAGTCTACTCTTCCTTTCATAATTATTCATAAATATAATAAAAGTTATAGAAATAAAATTCAAAGTGAAGTTATGTACACTTTGGTGTATCTCCTAAGGCAAGTTTCTCTCTTCAAGGTCGTGGTTCATCAATCCCTGATCCCAATCGCTTATCTTGGCGATCTGCATTAAAAGCCTGTATTTTTCCAAAATCGTCGTGTAAAAACTTCTTCCTAAAAAGATTCTTCTAAAAAACACACTTATTATGACCAGGTAATGATAAAAGTGTGAAATCTGGTGAATATAAAAAGATTATCTGTGCGCGGCAATATAAAGATTCGGGTCGAAGAAAGATTTGGATGAAAGAATATGGTTTATAGAGTTTATCTGTAATTTTAAATATTTTTCATCTCCAACGTAATTAGAAGCGCGATATAGCAAACAATCTCTATATATATAAAACAGTTTGTCCTGACTGACTGATTGGCGATCAATGCACAGCTCAAACGGTAAAAGGATTGGATTGGTATGACAATCCCAGAGGAGGAAGCCAAAAATATTTGTATTTAATATTTCAGAAATTTCAAAATTTAATTCCACAATTTTATTATTTAATTTTTCAGAAATTTCACAATTTATTTTTCGTTTTGCCAGCGCTTAGGTACTTGGTACGAGAATCGCAGATGAGGGCGGCCACAATATTTTTATTTAATTTAGCAGGGATTTCACAATTTAAATCCACAATGTTATTATTATATTTTAAAGAAATTTCAGGAAACTTCCCCATTTAATTTCAGAATATTATATTTTTTATCCCCTGTACCCGTAGGGTAAAAATGGTATATTAGGTTTGTGCAAAGTATGTAACATGCAGAAGGAAGCATCTCCGACCCCATAAAGAATATATATTCTGAATCAGCATGACGAGAGAAATCGATCTAGACATGTCCGTCCGTCCGTCCGTCCGTCTGTTCATCTGTCCGCCCGTCTGGATGAACGCAAGGATCTCAGAAACTATAAAAGCTAGAATAACCAAAGTTGGCATCCAGATTCTCCTAGGTCCGAGAAAGGACGAGTTTATTTAACTTTTTGGAATTCCCCCCCCCCCTTTCCCCTGCTACAGAATTTCGTCAATAGCACACATTTGAAATGCCACCTAAACCAAACTTTGCACTCATCATATATATATAATTATCTATCTGTTGTTTAATTCTGTTAATTCTAAGAAAAGTTATTATTACACTGTCGGGCTTGCTCGACTGTAGCGTTCTCTCTTGTTATTTTACAGAAATTTGCATACATGCATATAATATACATACATACATATGTATGTAAATAGTACATGTATGGTTGTACTATATGCCCTAGTTTTCGAAACGTAACAAAGTAAAAACTTTAGAGAGTATCGGAAGAAAAAGGGCATATTGTAAATAAACTTATAATTGTAAAATACTGAGCCCTTCAAAGGCGGGCAAGACCTGCTAGTCTTAAATATTTAAGCGGACTTCAGATAATTCAATTCATAGGAGCTTGCATTGGCTTTTTTTCAAATTTTGAAGGATGATAAATAATATTGAATATAATAAATAATGTTATAGTATGACTGGAATGAGCTGCGTCATGACCTTCAGATGAAGCCCAAAGTCTATTGGACAAGGTGCAGACACATCTTACGAGTCTGGTAGCTTTTACAGGGTGTGTTGTAGGACAGATGGATGTAGGTCCCATTCAAGGCGTAGGTGCCAATTGGAGTCGGGTGGGGGCAGTTATAATGCATGTATGCGGATATTTTGGATTGCTTACGCAAGTTGAATTTCAATAAGAAAGGCGTACAAATTTACCAAATGCGTGTATTTATTAAATCATTGCGCATGCACAGTTTTATGGGTTAATGCTTTTATATATGGACAATTTAAAAAAGTTCACCAAATTGGTTGATGGCCGCATGGAAATTTAAATTAATTTGTTTTCTTCTCGCAAACTGCTCTGTGTGTCTGTGTGTGTGTATACAAGTAATTCGGGCATTTACATTTTTGCATAAATGGCAGTAGCCGCAACCCGAATGAAGATAGCGGGTAAACAGAAATGGTAAAATTATAACAACGATGTGGGTGCCTTTCACTCACACGGCCAATGGCTTGGCTAGCTTTCAACATACTAGTAGGTACTTCTACAAGTACGAGTACGTCCGGCAACTGGGCAACGAGCCGGACCATGACGTGCCATGTCAAAGTTGGACTCGCAGCGAAATGATTTTATTTCATAAGCATTCCGCCGCTCGTTTAGGGGAGCTCTTTACGGCCACAATTTGGTGCAATTAGCGGCAGTTGCACATTTCTGCGCACTTAGCGTCATTACGAGTCGCTCGAGCTGCACACAATGTTTCTGACTGCAACGCCCACAACAACTAGCTGCCGGCTGGGGCGGAAGGCGGGCAGGCCGGCCTGTCTGCCTGTCTGCAGGCATACTCTAAAGTAGCTAAAATAAATCCAAATGAGTGAAAGAGCCTTCGTCCAACTTAGAGCAGCAACAGCTCCAATATTGCTGCACTCTGGAGACCGTAATAGCCGCCTGTGGTGGCATATCACGCACACAGCTCTCTACAAATCGTTGCCAAATCGATGGGCCTAAAATGTGCGCACCAAAAAAAAAAATTACAGTTCCTAAATCCATTTGAAGAAAAATAGCCTAAGTTTCGAATGTAGATTATTTGCTTCCCCCCGTACTTCCACAGCATAACTATGTTATCTATTGTGGTTGCGGTTTTCAAATATTGGGCTAATATTTTGCACAAATAAACATTTTGGTTAAAACGATTTCTTTATATAACTAGATCAGCATATCTACTATATAAATAACAACTTTTTCGAGAAGCCTCATGATTGAACCGATCGTTCCTATGTCAACAAGATAATAGAACTATTTCATGCATATCATAAACGAAATAGTCAAAAGTAATGTCTCTATTATAAGAGAGAGCAATTTATCTGAGGGGGATGATTACTTTAAAGGGGACAAAATGGATATTGATGAATAAATAAATACTTTTCGAAAAATTCAAAATTCGCCTTTTCTGATAAAAAAAAGTTGCATAGTACAGATGAATACTTTCATATTAAATTTAATGTTCTACTATTTCACATTCAAATCGGAAAGTAAACATCGTATATTTAAATAAAAACATATTGAATTACTTATTTAAATATGAGTAATATTCAAAACAAAGTGTAAATCTGGACCATATTTAATTTTAAAATTGCTATATTCCACAGTAAATGTTAATAATTTCCTCAACGTCTTTTGTAGTCGATTTAAATATACTAGATATATATTAAACTTTAATTGACAAGAGTTCTGAAGTCGGTTTTCAGCGGTTGTGTGGTATAAAGACAAAATGTAACCCATTGATATACATATATGGACATTTGGTATGTGTCAAGTAAGTGTATTCAATCAGATTTTCTTCACTTTTAATATTAATATTGATCTCAACTATATAAAAGGCATAAAAAGATAATTAATTAATAAGAATTAATAATCAAAAGAATTTGGAAATTGCTTTCCGCTAAAAATGTTTCTATACAAAATATGAATGTGTAAGTATTTAAAATTAAGTGGGTTTTTTTATCATTGTACAGCAAATATAAACAATTTTATAATATGTTTTCCAAAACATGGAATAACATCGAATTACGATTTCATCTACCCATGTCGGTCTGTCATTCTGTCTGGATTAACTTCTGTATTTACCTTCAATCTTTTTGATTCTGATTCCCAACAGCAGTAGAACTTATGTATAGTTATTTTTTATTTGTATTTATGTTGTAATTATTTGTATTTTGTTTTACTTTTGTTATTTATTCTTATTTTTAATTTATGTTATAATTATTTGAACAGATTCTTTCTTTTTAAATGCATGCCTTTTCCACAGCCGACTCGTGATTATATGTTGCCATACGGTGCGGCATGCATTCGCAGAAGACAACTTGCAGCTTGCTATGGCGGCCACGCCGATGACCTTGCAACAGCTGCGTTCAGCTTGACTAATGGCCGCCACATCCGCCGCCGCCTTCATGGCATAACGCATAAAGCCCTGTGACAGAATCGCTGACCCTTCACCAGATGCTGTCCACGAGCCGTCGCACAGCAAGTGAAGCGTTTAGTGGCACGACAGGCAAGTCCGGCTGGCCATGTTGCCCAAAACTGACTTTCTGCGCCACAACGAAACTCAAACTCCCTGCACCAATACTACCATAAATATTCGCCATGGCTGCAGTCTTTGATGAAAGTCGATATGCTCCATTTTGGAGGAGGGCGCAATAAAAGGAAAAGTGTTGCACGTCACGTTGTCTAGCGTCGTCGCCGCGCAGACAATGCGGTAAGACTCGGCGAAGTTGCCAACATCGCCCTCGTGGTTGTTGTTGCTGTTATTGTTGTTGTTGTAGTGCTTGCCAATGGATGCAATCGAGCGACGAGCGACGAGCGTCGAACGCACAAAGCGCGTGCTGCGCTTCGCTGAGCTTCGACTTAAGATTGCGACACTTTAGCGGACGTCTGGCCAGCTGTCGAATATTGCTGTAAACACTTTCGAGGGCTCCAAAGCTCGAGGTTGAGCCGCCGCCATGCCTCTGCAACAGGCCCAGCCGTCATTTGTGGTTTAACTAAGCCTTAAAATAATGAACTCGTATGTAAATGTACCAAACAAAAATGACTTCAGTGGCTTATATACTCGCTTACTGTTCAGGTAATTAGGCCTACGGGATCGTGCTACCTTTTTGGGGCATCGGATGCCGACTCCACAAATATAGAAACTACTCTGCAGAAATACAGATGCTCCAGAAATAAAGATACTCCAGAAATATAAAAACTACTCTGCAAACAGCTCATCATCCAACCTTTTTTGATTTATAGTTCATTCTTTTTACTTACAATTTCACTCAAAGGAAGCTAAGAAAAATACAAATACTCAAAGATCGCACCCTAACACACATCTTTACAAGTAGTGTCTAGTTTTTAATAAACTCACCTTTTTCTTAAAATAATTGTATTTCTATTTTGTTGTGCACATGTTAATTAAATTTATTGTAATAATAACAGAAAAATTAATAAAGAGAATATAATATTTTCTGTAACACCTGAAAACACACAAAATATAAAAGAGCCCGTTTAAAAACACAAGACTTGGAACAAATCTGAAATAAGACTTAGCGAGAAAGAGATTATTTTAAGGTTTTCCCATAAGCAGCTAATAGTAGCTAAAAAATTAAATGGAAATTTTAGAATTTTCTTTACTTTTATTTAAAATGTTTACCCTTTAGTCTTCATGTTTTCAATTTTATTTGGGGGATTTACGTTAGGAAGCTAATGTAATGCATGGGTAGGCAGAAATGGAACACAATGGAACACAGCGACTGCAAAAGCTGTCTGCTGCCTATTACCGGAACAGATTATGCGCCTGACTGCAGACCAATAAGAAATTTGCCCAGTCATTAAATTTTAAATTTTGCAATGAATGTTGCTATAATTGCTTGTTGGTAAATATCTTGCGGTAGATTGCTTCTCGTGCGAATAACTTGTAGCTAAGTTTTGTAAATTTAATTATTTCTATACTTCGCTTACCAAGTGCAAGTAATTTAAATTTACTTTTGAATGCCTTGGTTCGCGCCCCAAGACCACATATATCTGTTGCACTCGCACTAACAGGTGCATTCGTATTTATGTTACACCCCTTTGCCGAATGTAAGTGCGAAAGAGACAAATATTGCATAACAAGCTAGTTCATTTCTGTACACATAACTAGTTCTTTTCAGTGCTGTAAAAAGCTTTGAATACAAATAAAACGATTTTTATTCAAACGTATAGACACACATTTTAAAATACATTCAATTTGATAATATTATTATTGAACATACGTACGTTATTGGTCTTGGAAATACGCTTATACAATTTCTGCAAGGAAAGAAATGTGAGAATTATTGATATTTGAAATTTGTGTTTACAAATTACTTCTCTTGGTTGAGGTCCAACCAATCTTGGCATTGGTCTCCTTATTGTGTGCGTTCAGCCAATTTAAAATGGGTTGATAGTATTCCAAAAGTGCCAGACTGCTCAAATTAGCATTATCGGGAAGTAGTATCTTGGCTATAACTTCCTGCCAAGGCTTTGATGAACCCAACGACATCATAGACCTAATATTTCATATAGAGCAGGTGTATAGTTAATAAATCACAATACTGAATTGTTTTCATACTCACTTTAAGTCGCTCCCGACAGCATAATTACCGTAGAAGTCGCAATTGTGTAGCAATCCACGGTGCCCGGTCTTTTGGCACAGGGCGCGGTAGAACTGATAACCCAAAATTTCGGAGACGAATTTCCTACAACAAATGCGTAGTTTGTACAGATTAAAAATCTATTGTCTATAATGAATGTGATGACGTACTTTGTTTGATGATTCTGCTCAATATTCACGTAGAATTTATAGGGGAAGTCGATGGCGTTTTCCGGGCGGTCAGTTGGCGGCTCAATACCAGCATGTTGCTCCATCAGCTTCCAGTAGAGTCTATTAACAGTATCCATGTCGACAGTGCCGTTTAGTAGATCGTTCATTACTTTGGTGTGCACATAATACATCGGTATTTTCAATATTGTGTGAATGCCCTTAATTTTAATAAACAATAAATAAATTATTAGATTTTGCTCATTAATAAAGGACATTCCTCACCATTCGGAACAGACGATTCATCAGAGACTTGTCCGTAAACTGCACGCCCTTTGCCAAGCCAATGGACGTGAGATGGGTCGGGGAAGCCGCGGAAAGGATTACAGCCTCTCCAACGGAATACTCTAAGTCGTAAGAGTTAAAGTAATATGCTGGCAACTGATTCTTTTGCTGAGCATAATAGACACGAGCCATGTGGCCGTGATTTTGCATCAACTTTCTAAAGTTCACCTTTTCGCAGTACTTCAGGTAGACATGAGGTGTCAAATCAAAAATGGCTGCCCGGCAGTCATCGTTTTGTTGGCTTTCATCCGGCTCCTTTAATTGCTGCTCTCTGAACTCCTTGCTGAGCGGGTCGAAGCCCAATGATGTGTAAAAGCGCTCGGACTCGTTTATCAAATCCTTCGCACTCAGATCCTTCACAAAGTCATCGTACTGGGGCAGTTCTATGCGTGGAAAGTACGACTCAATAATGCTGCCCTGCTCCCAGGCCTGCTCCAGCACCTGCTGGAACAGATGATCTGGAATGGGCCCATTGACATCGACGACATCGGCACCATACTTCCTGTACAGCTCCTGGCGCACAAACGCATGAAGCTGCTTATAGGCAGGCATGAGTTCCGTCATAGCCTGCTCCATCTGCTTCAGAAAATCGTCGTTATTGTAGCGATACCAAAGCTGCAGAACCGGTATATCTAATATTTTTGCTGCGCTTTGGAAGGACTCCACAATCGTGTAGAAATTCACCGACGCCCATAGCGAGTTCTTCTCACGCCAAGCCTCCCAATAGTATTGAAGCTCTGCAGAGCTATTGCTTGTCTGTACGATCTTCTGTATGTCGGGATAGTAAGCCAGCGGACTGTCATCCCCGTTGGGCATATAAGCACCATTCAGATAGGGCTCGATATCCTTGTCGGATGCCAGTTCCTGCAGTGCCACCAAATTAATAAGAACCGACTCAAAGTAGTCATCACCCAGCACGAAAAGGTCGCCCACACTGCGCAGCTCCTGAAGCGCATGCTTGATCTGTGCATCTTGGATTTTGTTTTGGTCAAAGGTGCTGGCCTCTCGCGAGATCTGCACCAGCTCGTTGGCAATCCGCTTGACTGTTGTTAGCTTGGAAAAGACCGCCTCAAAATCATCATCGTCTTTAATGGAAGCATACGTTTCAGCTGCAATCTGGTTGTAGAGTCTATAGTATCGCTCACTGGACTGATCGATAAACTTCTTGGCCTCTACATCATAGCTGGAAGCAGCAGCGGCCCACTAATTCCAAAAGATCCGATTAAGACTTAGTACCTTCATCTGGTTCTTACACTTACCCCAATTGCCGCTATCAGCACTATATAGTAGTAGAGTGCCCGCATTGTTGTCCACAACCAAGTTCCCTGACAGCTCTTCTCAAACTAAGTTGTGTGCGGAACGCACTCTCGCTTTTAAGCCCCGCTGCTCGATAAGATTGTTTTACTTTTGACACTGAGCTACTGATAAGCCAGCCGATCAATGCGAATCTCGTCAATTGGGCCGCACGTCAAGCTGAAATGCGAGTACGCATGTATTGAGTACAAAAGTAAGTGTTCATATTTTTTTGCTTGAAATGCCTTGCGGTGTTTATTGTTCGCTTAATAAAGATGCAATATATTGTCTAGAAGTAACGATTCTTAAAGTGGTTGTAATTCGCAGTGTCATACTGCTGTGGAGGCCGGGGTCGTAGCATTGCAGCAACATCAGGAGCGGTTCAGACAGTCGTGCACAATCTAGCGGTTTTGCCGAGTAACAACACGGTTGTCGTGGCGAATAGTCACATCAACGATGCTCATGTTGGGTGTCAGGAAGTTAACCAACCGATCAGCACCAGCGCGGGGAAGACGGTCGAATGGGAAGCCCATGGCTTGGCGATCGGGATAGAGACGATCGCGCACACCACAATATGAAGCCGCATCACTGCAAATGCCCACCAATTGCTGGTTGACCTGTGAGGAAGAGAAACCACCTCCAGTTTTATGTCGTCTTGGCATTTATAGCATGTATATTGAACTTACCCGATCGTTCTCATAGTCGGACACCATGACAAAAAGTTCGCAGCGCATGCCTTCGGGCAGACCCTTGGGAATCAGCATGTGATTGGGCCAACCACAGCCGCAGAAGTTGAACTCGAGCTCCTCGGCACTGCCAGCTGCGGGGCGGTTAGCATCCAGATTGCGGAAGGTGCGCTCAAAGGGAATGGTTACACTAGACTCAGTCGAGCGGCGACGAATGCTGTTGGGGCCAGGATTCAGTGTAACAACGAACTTGTCCAGCTCAACCATCAGCAGGCGCTGGTCACGCAGCAGCATTGGCTGGCCACGTTCGTCGGTCTTGGGTCCCAGGAAGATGCGAACGTAGCCGAAGCGCTGGGCGCCCGCATCATTGTTCACATTGATGGTGTAGGTGAAAGGCAGATGCTGCAAGTGCGTAAAACGTGCAAACACATTGCCTCGTGGCACGAAGTCCATGCCGCGGGAGAGATTCACGTCGGACTGCTGCCAGAAAGTGGTTAACGCATTCGGCTGGCTACCATCGCTGGCCACTTGAATGCCCGTAATGGAGATGCCCGAGTAGGTCAGCTGCTGGGTGTTGTAGGCAGGCAGACTGGTTTTGTGCTCCTGGAAGATGTCGTCGATGTATGCGTGCCATCTATAGAAGACTGGATCACGCATAGCCGTGGCAGAGTCGCCCATCACACCAAACGATTCCAAATGGCGATGGTCAGGATCGTGAGAGTACGAGATGAAAACGTGGCCTGAAATGAAGGTGATTAATATATTGAGTTCTCAAGCGATAAAAACAATTAATAATACTAATTGCACATAACTCAGATGTCTCTTAAAATACTTGTATGACCCCAATATTGTCAATTTAAATACAAGTATTGTAATACAATTTCTGAGGATCACTTTTACGTTAACAACTTACCCATATTGTGGAAGTCACCGTAGAGTGTGCGATTCGGCGATACAATAGAGGACTCAATCATATTGCCCAGAATGTCTATGCCACGAGTTTCATCCAGATTAATGCGGTTACCACGCTCCTTCAAACGATTCATGAATCGATAAGCAGTGCAATTATAGGATGTTGTTCCTTTTACTTACATCGACAACGAATCCTTGGTTTATGGCCTCAAAGATGCGGTCCCTCCAGCGCTCCAAGTCTGCAACATCCAAGTTAATCTGGTCAGCCTCGCGGTTTAAGTCGTTCAACTTAGTGTCGTCAAAGCGTGGGGGCCAGGCACGGCTAGCCACTAGGGAGTCCATCTTGGGGAAATAGCCCTCGGCTATTGGCTCACGCAAATTGTTGAAACGCTGAACGCGCGCCAAGTTGTTGCTGAAGCGTTCGAGATTATAGCGCGCAATGACCTGCTCATGCATATAGTAGAAGAGCTCGCCACGGCGATCTTTGTCGACAATGCTGCGATCGGAGGCCTCAAAAGGATAGACCAAGTGCCAATGCCAGTGATGGAGATTGATGCCCATATCCTCGCGGAAGTACCACAAACGGTGCTCCGGGTCCAAATCGGAGGCAGTGTAATCACGTGGAATAACAATGGGCATGCGGGATCCGGGCGAGACAACGAAAGACTCCTCACGCATTTGCCGGAATACCTGCGAGTCGACAAATCGGTCGGGGAAACTCTGCGAAAACGATGGCAAATCCAAGCCCTTGGTGTCCGGACGATGCAACAGGGCCACCGAGAGCGCATAGTTGAACAGTAGAGGATTGACGCGATCACGGGCGTACACAGCCACGCTCTGCAGATCGTCGATGGTGCGCATGTTCATGAAAATATCGATGAGCCGGCCGGCAATACGGCGATGCTTGGGTATGAACAGTGAGAACTGCTCATCGCGACCCAAAGACATTGGTATGCGCAGGTCCGGAATGGAGATCTCGCGCACTGGAATGCGTTGCTCCACATTCGCGCCGGCACGGTTTTGTACCTCGGCGCTGATCGGCTTGTAGCGATCGATCAAATAGTTGTCGGGCACATCGAACACGGTCGGAGTCTTGCCCTTGTCCATGAAGACCGGCTCGTTGGGATGCTCGAAGAGCAGCAGCAAGTTGTTTCGGTTGGCCATGTCGGGAGAGTGAGGACTAAGGATTGGAAATAAACGAATTTAAAGCCGCGTTCTGTTGTCGATCGAAGTAGGAACACTTCACAACTGTTGCTTCTCTTCAACGACCCAAGGCTTTTATACCCAATGGCAAGCGATGCAATATGGGAAAAGAATGCATGCGAGTTATCACAAACCACAAGGCACTGCTGAGCTAAAGTATTCGAACGATAAAACAATAGCAACCACAACCCAAAACAACAGTATGTGGCAAACAAAAATTAGTGATAGCCCCAACGTTGGATTATTTTTACTTAATTTATAAGTTCTACTAAATCGTAAGAAAGTTTGAGACCAATATAAAATCAATCTACAAGGCATCTGAATGGGAGCTAAGTTTTTCCCGAAAACTACCGGCTTGTCCGAATCTTCATTGCCCATAGGAGAACTATGCTATTAATGGAAATAATAATAATAATATTGCTATATGGTTTTTTATTTCAAACGCAATTGAAAGCAATAGTTTTTATGAATTTAACAATCATTCTTTATCATACTGGAATTGAAAAGCTATAGTCGGAATACTTGTCGAAAGATAACATCAAATATATAGTGGATATCCAAAATTGATTGTGAAACAAAGTAAAGGAATTGGATTGGGGAATAGCAAAAGAAAACTTGGTGTGCAATATTTATTGGGTAATATACGAGTATAGTGTAAATAATTTGTATAATATATCAGAGTACAGAAGTTTTGTGCTTAGAGAATATTTCAACTGGGTCAGATATCGGATATCAGTGGTCGTTGCTTTAAGCAGATGTTTAATGAGCAGATTCCGAAATTGTTCATGATTCGTTGGGGCGCACTACAGTGCGATCCTGATGGCGTATGCTGACATCCACAATGCTCATATTCGGAGTCAGGAAATTGACCAAGGTGTCGGCTCCGGCGCGAGGAATGCGATCGAATGGATAGCCCATGGAACGGCGATCTGGGTAACGACGATCACGCACACCACAATAGGAGGCGGCTGTGCTGCAGCCACCCACAAGATCTTGATCCACCTGAGCGATGATTCAGAACAAATTCAATAAATGGTTGCCTATTAAGTAGGGGAATCCAAAACTTACTCTGTCCTCTTCGTAGTTGGAAACCATAACGAACAGCTGGAATTGCATTCCCTCGAGCTTACCCTTAGGTATGAGCATGTGCTGTGGCCAGCCGCAAATGCAGAAATAGAACTCCAGCTCTTCGGCTGAGCCAGCCGCAGGACGATTCTCGTCGAGATTGCGGAAAGTGCGCTCGAAAGGAACTGTAACGCTTGATTGGGTGGAGCGGCGCATAATCGTGTTTTGCCCCGGGTTAACTAAGGGAATAAATATATTTATAGCCATAGAAGTTAGCCTACACACAACCACTCACGCGACACCACAAACTTGTCCAGCTCAATCATGAGCAGACGCTGGTCCCGCAGCTGCATGGGCAAGCCTCGCTCATCGAACTTGGTGCCCAAGAAGATGCGAACGTAGCCGAAGCGCTGGGCGCCTCCATCGTTGTTCACATTGATGGTGTAGGTGAAGGGCTCGTGTTGCAAGTGTGTGAAGCGAGCAAAGACATTGCCACGTGGCACAAAGTCCATGCCACGGGAGAGATTTACATCGGACTGCTGCCAGAAGGTGTTGAGCATATTCGGCTGACTGCCAGCACTTGCCACTTGGATACCAGTTATGGAAACTCCCGGATAGTTGAGCTGTTGCGGCGTATAGGCAGGCAGACGGGACTTGTGCTCCTGGAAGATATCGTCGACATACGAGTGCCATCTATAGAAGGCTGGGTCTCTCATGGTAGTGCTCAAATCTCCCATAGCACTAACTCCTTCCAAGTGGCGCTCATCGGGATCATGAACCTGCAATATGGCACAGATATAATAAAAAAACTGAAAGCTATAAGCACGGGGGTCCAACCAGCGAGATAAAAATGTGTCCCATGTTGTGCAGATCGCCGTAGAGATTACGGTTCGGCGAGAGCTGCGACGCCTCAAGCACATTGCCCAGCACATCGATGCCATTTGTCTCGTCCAGCATTATGCGTTCGCCACGGTCCTGCAAAATAGACATTTTTCGATTGAGGGGTTGGGCATAGATACCGCCGTTCTTTCCAACTGACAACACTTACACTCATTACAAATCCCTGATGTATGGCTTCATAGATACGATCGCGCCAGCGCTCCAAGTCAGCAATATCAACAATTATCTGGTCTTGTTCTCTGCGCAGATCAGAGAGGGGAGTGTTCTTCTGCCTGGGTGAATAGGCGCGACTGGCTACCAGCGAGTCCATCTTCGGGAAGTAGGCCTCAGCTATGGGTTCACGCAGATTGTTGAAGCGCCGCACCCTGGGCAAGGCATTAGACAGACGCTCAAGATTGTATCGGGCAATAATTTGCTGGTGCTGGTAATAAAAAAGCTCGCCTCGACGGTCCTTGGCCACAATGCTGCGATCGGCAGCTTCAAAGGGATATACCAAGTGCCAATGCCAATGATGAATGTTCACGCCCATGTCCTCTCGGAAGTACCACAGGCGGTGTTCTGGTTCCAAATCCGAAGCGGTGTAATCGCGAGGAATAACAATCGGCATGCGCGATCCAGGCGATACAACGAACGATTCCTCTCGCAATTGGCGGAACACCTGGGAGTCCACAAACTTTTCGGGAAAACGTTCGGCAATGTTTGGCACACCAAGGTCCTTGGTGTCAGGACGATGCATGAGTGCCACCGATAGGCAGTAGTTGAAAAGCAATGGATTCACGCGATCTCGGGCATAGGCTGCGACACTCTGCAGATCCTCCACATCGCGCATACCCATAAAAATGTCAATCAGGCGACTTGCAATTTTGCGATGACGCGGAATAAAGGTGGTGAAAATGTCGTTGCGACCCAAGGACATGGGAATGCGTAGATCAGGTATTGAAATATCCTTCACTGGAATGCGACGATCGATGTTCGCAGTGCTGGCGGCTCTCTGCTGCACCTCGTTGCTGATCGGTTTGTAACGCTCGATAAGGAATTTGTCGGGCACATCGAAAACCGCTGGTTTCCTGCCCTTGTCCATGAACACCGGCTCGTTGGGGTGGTCGAAGAGCAACAACAAATTCTGCTTGGTGGTCATGATTGCACAATTATTGACTGTTTGAAGCTGAAAAAACTGAATGACTTGGAGTGATGGGTGTACTGTGTCCGATCCATGGCAGACCAACGCTTTTATACGCTAGGAAATTGTGGGGAAAATCCAAAGTTGGTTAAGGGAAAATAAAAACCATGGCTGTCTTATCAAGCTTCAACCGCCTCGAGCGTTTTTCCTTGACAAGTGGTTGCCACGTTTATCTTCAACTGCTTAATCCGACTGAGGGGGAGCTCGAAGAGGTGCGAAGAGGTACATACGTATAATCGTATAATCGCATAGAAAACCACAGCTATTTGTATGTTTTTAAAATACGTTCTTTATTACATTTACTTGCAATTTGATTTAAAGTATATAATTTTGTTACACATAGTATGCACTAGACGAATGAAATTTGATTAGACCATTTGCATTAATATTATTACAATGCACATACTATACATGCACAATTATGTATGTATACTATATGTCTGTATGCACTTGTATGTATATGATAATATTCGAATATAAGCTAATGTATGTGTATGTAACAAGTGCTATGCCGTTCATACATACACAATATTCACTCTATATATGTATGTATATGTATTAATAAATATACTATATTGCATTAACGGTCAAACATTTAAATACTCGCACATAGTACCCAAGTACTATATATGTATGTCCACTTGTTTTTAAAACTTGTCTTGGTTCAATTTGATCAATCATATGTATGTAAATATTATACTTGTATGCAAATATTATTAGCAAATTTAGTTATATACGAGTATAGTAGTATAGTGTGTGTGTAAACATTTACCACAGTTACATGTGTATTTAACACATTTTTAAAGTAGCGCCTTGCAACTAAACACACAATGTCAGATTTATCAGATCTATAAGTATATACCTATTCATGCCCCACATAGCATTTAAATATGTATTTACAAGTGTTTCGTTTTGTTTTGTTTTGTTTTGTTTTCGGAAACAGTTTCCCGCTTGTTCGTGTATAAGCGATAGTTTTTGTAAAAAGTGTCATAGAAAAAAACCCTTAGGTATGTCCTGTGTTTGTTTAGCCTTAGTCATGTCATGATATGTTATGTTTAAGCTCTTAGGAGAGAGATAGAGATAGATTGGGGCTAATGCTGGATACTAACCACAATAAAAATCCGCTCTACGAGTGAAACAAATGGTATCAGGTGGGATCATCGCAATCAGAGAGACAGAACGAAACGGACGAGCTATGTTTCTCAGAAATTCAAATAAATAAGTTTAGTACTTCCCATTTGATTAGGACTTTCAAAGAATAAAACTATTCTAGCTGCGCCTTCCTACAGATATTCAACTAAAATGAACTTTTTTGTAACAATCAAAGAATGTTTAAATTATGGGTACTCAGTATATCTTTATAAACAACTTATATCTGCACCGATCAATCCTGTTGTTGAAATATAAAAAAAGAGCTTTACAGATTTAGTTGATCATTGACTTCTTTGAGTCTGGATAAGATCATATATGGTGTCTCTAGCTGTTATGATACAGATGAATATATATGGCGCATATGTCTACATCATATACTATATGTATCTATAAGATGGGTGCTGCTACGCTTTCATCTGCCTGTTCAATACATTTGGTCGTTCTGTTCTTTCTATTAGGTCCTTTAACCCGTCGAATAGAGGGTATAAAATACAAGTATTTCTGTATATTTTCAGATAATTCACAAATAAATTTTAGAAAACATGAGCATGTTTGGCTGAGTGAAATGGGTTTCGAAAACTTTTGTTCATGATCAATTTAAATATTGACCGGATTGTGACCAGGATCCATTTAGTTTGTGTTCACTAATTTCTGCACTCAATGGCATCTGGACTGAGTAAGTATAGTATGTGGTATTAGAATTCCACAAGCTATAGACTTGGAGAGCTAATCATTGATAAGGAAATGACATTTTAACACTGAAGATATTTTTGTTGAGGTTTGTATCCAGCACTTAAAAAAAAATAGAAAGTCAACAAAAATGTTGAAACATTTGTGCCAAACTAAACGAAAATCTTTGCTTCCCATAATTATCAAATACCCTTTTATAATCATATATAAAAATACAGAATCGTAAATATTTACATAAAACGTGCATTTTAAATTAGTTTTTACCACAGAGAGAAAAAGTGTACAAAAATATCGGCATGCAGCTCACAATTGATTCAGAGTGCCTTTTTTAAACTTAAATGAATTTAAGCTTAAATGCAACGTGTACTTTTCTTAAATACTTGTAGATTCATGTTTCATTTGTCGCGGTGTCGTTTCATTTCTTTTTTGATTTGCAAGAATCGCAAGTTTTAACATTTAATATTGGTTGGTACTCAAGTGGCTTGGCTCTTTGTTCAAAGCAATTTCCTACAGCTGTATACATGTATATAGTATATACGAGTATATAAAACGAGTTCGAGTATGATTTAATAAGAATATGCCATAGTATAGGTTATATAAGTATATCTATGTATCTAGTTGTAAATAACACTTAGCTAGCTCTCATCGATTTTTGCGAATGTAAACATAACATTTTGATTAGCTTGAACCCCATTGCCTCTACTTGTATATATGTATGTATGCATGTATGTATATTGGTGCCCAAATATTTTTTCAGACTACTCTAATGCTAATTACAGTAACATCTATGCGAAAATTTCATGCATTACATCGACATCGACGATCGTTTAAATTGTAAGGAACTTGCTCTTCACACTCACAGGCGCTCAATCGTTCCAAATAAAAGTTGGCTAACAGGAATGTGGCTAATGCTCGTAAATTCAACTACCTGTCTTATTTATATGGAACAAAGAAAATGTTATGGTGCATATAAGAATTTGTTGTTTGTACTGAGGTTCAGGTTTTCAATAACTCGTATCACTTGCCAAGTTTCTGCTCTACAAATACCCTAGAAATGTACCTAATAGACACGCGCACACACACACACACACCTTCTTTGAACATCAGAGACTCAGGTACAAGTTTTCGTTTGCCAGAACATAGCTATGTACATATATATATTACATATATATACGATTTTGTGTGTAAGAGTGCAGCAAAAGAAATTCAGACAGCAACTTATATTGTAAAATGCATCCAACAATCAAACCAGCTCGCACCCATCCTTATGTCTAAGCTAATGACTTTGACTTTGGCTTCGATTTTGTGTTAATAGCTCACTCTGTGGCCGACATCTAATTCACCAATTTGCTAGCCGCCACATCCATAGTGCCATTCTGATACTCCCGCCTACAATAGCTCATTACTACGTCCGCGCGACAATCGCCGCCCATGAGGCCGGGCAGCAGGACAGCGGCGCCCAATATAGTGACCAATGCCCCGAATACAACGAGTCCCAATGCTGGCAGTTTCTCGCGGCTGAAGAGCGCATGCGGTTCCATTTGTATATACGCCAGACCCGGCAGTATATATGCCAAGGGTATGGCTGCCAGGAGGCCCTAAATTATGAGAAAATGTACACTGAATTAAGTACTGCTTACTTTTGTTGATAATACATTGGTATGTGTGTGTTTGTGTGTGTGTGTGTGTGTGTGTGTGTGTGTGTATGGGAGTACTAGTGTGCATATTAAACGACCTACATTCAATTCCAGCACCGAACCCAAGCAATCGGTCATGGGTGATATAACGAAAGCGCTGAACACAATGGCTAATGTTATGGCTTTCGAATACTCATCGATTTCGGCCCCCTTCTCCAGACTGGGGTCCTTGTCCTGCGTAAACTCGCTTATGGGCTCCTTTAGCACAAAACGGTGCACAAGTGCGCGCACAATCTGCAAACGAAATCCAGAAATAATGCTTAAATATAGAAGGGGCTTCTGTGCAAACATTATAACATGTAGTTAAATAAATTGCTTGGAATAAGTTTGAAACTAATTCTTTATAACAAAATCAAGGGAATGCTTTTCTGTCTATAATAATATGAATCCGATATTAAAGTTGAAACAAACGATCATGCCTCTTTAAAGAATTCAATGAAAAGTCTAGCAACTTTTCATATAAATAACGATTTAAAATATTTAAATAAACATTCAAAGTATGTAAATAATTTAGCTCTTAAGCTTTCTCTCAGAAAAAAGACCAAGTTTTAAAACCAATGAAGTTCAATGAAGTTTTTTAATTTTTAGGACTACAATTTTTAAATAATAAAAAGTCTAGCAACTTTTTGCATAAATAACGATTTAAAATATTTAAATAAACATTCAAAGTATGTAAATAATTTAGCTCTTAGGCTTTCTCTCAGAAAAAAGATTAAGTTTTAAGACCAATGAAGTTCCATGAATACTTTTATTTTTAAAACTAAAATGTTTAAGTAATAAAAAGTCTAGCAACTTTTCGCATAAATAACGATTTAAAATATTTAAGTAAACATTCAAAGTATGTAAATAATTTAGCTCTTAAGCTTTCTCTCAGAAAAAAGACCAAGTTTTAAAACCAATGAAGTTCAATGAAGTTTTTTAATTTTTAGGACTACAATTTTTAAATAATTAAAAGTCTAGCAACTTTTCGCAAAAATAACGATTTAAAATATTTAAGTAAACATTCAAAGTATGTAAATAATTTAGCTCTTAAGCTTTCTCTCAGAAAAAAGATTAAGTTTTAAAACCAATGAAGTTTTTTAATTTTTAGGACTACAATTTTTAAATAATAAAAAGTCTAGCAACTTTTCGCATAAATAACGATTTAAAATATTTAAGTAAACATTCAAAGTATGTAAATAATTTAGCTCTTAAGCTTTCTCTCAGAAAAAAGATAAATTTTTAAAACCAATGAAGTTCCACGAATTCTTTTATTTTTAAAACTAAAATTTTTAAGTAATAAAAAGTCTAGCAACTTTTCGCATAAATACCAATTTAAAATTTTAAAATAAACATTCAAAATATGTAAATAATTTAGCTCTTAAGCTTTCTCTCTGAAAAAATAGATAAAGTCGTAAAACTTGTGTTTCCCCATTGAAGAATTATATGAAAACTAGACTGATGAAATATTCGTCTCTTAGCTATTATTTTGATTCCAATATAGTATTTGCCTTAATATTGGTTTATTGGGCATATTTTAAACGTAGTTGAAATTCTTTAAAAATACACAATTTATAAATGTTTTTTTTTTTTTTTTTTTTGTGTAGAATGAGTGTGAAAGTGTACATATATAACAGCAGTAAAATGATTTCATGGGCATAATAAAAAGTTTCATTTCAACAGCTAAGTGGACGCCTGTCCGGCAGGCCAAAACAAGAAAAAAATACGATTTCAAACATACTTCACGTGAAACGAAGCACTCAATGGGGAAAGTTAGCAGTATGGATATGGAGAAGAGTACACGCGAGAAGTTCATCAAGTCATCATCCCAGCAATAGTTCTCCAACAAGTCGCCTGGAAGGAAACAGAAAACAACACACAAACATACTATATACTCGTACATATACATACACATACACATACTATACATGTATGCTCGTTTATTTTTTAGATAAAAATGCAGAAGGCAGCACTCGAAATGTATGAAGCGTAAAAAACCGGCTGTTATATTAGTGCAAACATACAAACAAGTACAAGTATATACAGATACAGCTACATACAAGTATATACAGATGTGCTTGTGTCTGTGATAAGCGTGTGAACAGTCGAACCGCAATTTTTGCATAAACATCAGAGCCCACCACAAATATGATAAAAATGTATATTTTTGTGCCAGTTGTTGTTCTCCAATTTGAATTTAGATGGACTGTTTATCCAAGTCCGACGCCCAACACTAACAATGGTGATGGTGCTGGCGATGGCGATTGTGTCGAGGTGGCCCGGACTGCCTGACGGCCTGCTAGGCCATCCGGCTTTGACAATGTGATGTGTGGGTGCTCCAATCAAATTGATGGCTTTTAGATTTACAAAATCCATTTGGCTAATGCAATTAGTTTTGCTTTGCTGCGTACCTTGTGACAGAGCGCGGAAAGTGGAATAGCCGGCGATTCCAAATAGCGCTGCAACTGTCCAGGCGAAACCAATCGAAATGTGTGTGACCTTCTCCCAACGCTCCATGGTCGCATCGCGCATCGATTGATAGACGAGGAAAGTATTGTGATGACACATGAAAGCTGTGCAAAACGAGAGAACAAGAAACAAAGCAAAAAAAAAGGTAGTTAGATAAAAACTCGATTGACATCAGACTAGAAAATGCAATTTTATTAAGTGTCGGCGGCGCCGCCTGGCTTGCTCCGTGGCTAGAGTACTGCCAAGTATATCCTTGTTCATCCTTGCTCATCCTCGCCCACAGCTGCTTGACACACTTTGCAGAGCAACTGTGCCTTAATGCGCAATGCTTTATTATGATGCATAAGTAAAGATTTCCTGAAATCTTCTCTGTTACAAGTGGCGTTTAGGATACTCACCAAACACCATGATGCCAGTGGCGGGTATTAGATCCGTGTTGGCAAAGCGCCAGGACTCCGTAGTGTCCGTGCTGGTGGGACAGCACAACAAAGAAAACAACAAATAACAAAAAGGTGTGCACAAAGAGTCATGGGAGAGAAAAAATTACACAAAGTTAACACCAAATTAACATTTCCTTGGGCTTTCAACTTGTGAAATAAAATATCGCACAACTGAACAAAAGTAAGGGCAAATGGTTTAACACCCCGCCAGCCATAACGTAACGTAATATGCATGAGATAAGACAAACTCTCGACAAAATAAACCAAAAAGGTGAGCAGAAAAGTGCGCTACATAAACCGCAAATTGGAAATTTATTTAAATTTTATGCGCATGGGTTGCGCGCCAACAGGCGGGGGCGTAGCCAGGATCGTCTGACGATGGCAACAACAAGCGAAGCAACAGTGAAAGGCTTCGCACTCGCGACCGTGAAAAGCTCCAGAATGTAGGGAAAGTGTTGGCATACACACACACACACCCATATTTAGGCAACAGCAGAACTGCCCCCCGATTTGCATAGCAACGAAGGGTAAGCTATTAAATGCACAACCAAATACCGACACCACCACTGCAGGGCCACCATGAGGCGGCTACATAGTTGCATGAGACCCCCTCCCCCGGCCTGTCTCACGGACTGAAAAACTAATGAAAACCGTAAAAGGCAAACAAGTAGCGCACTAAATTTTATGCGCTTGCAAGAATCGCACACACAGGTCAGCCCTTGGCCAGGCAGCCCCTCTGCCCCCCTGCCCCCTGCCTCCCTCTCGACACCCGCGTTGTCACAGTGCACCACTTGGACGCGATTTGCAGGCAGTAAAGCACCACTTAGCACTAAAGCGCCACCGTTGAAGTGGAAAGTCAAGACCAGGCGGACGATGTACTTGTACTTGTAGTTGCCGCCAACTACCAACCAAAATGAAATGGTTTTATGGCGCCCTGTGGCAGCTCCTGGCTTTGGACACAGAGAGACAGACAGACGACCACATAATTTGTAATTAAAATGTAAATAAATCATTGCGTGTCATTAGCCGCAACAAACAATTTGAAAAATCATTTGTTGTTTATTTTTAATTTATATAAATTGGCTAGAAAACTCAAAAATAGAACAGACAATGGCTGTCAGGGCCTAATTAAATGAGTAAACGCCTATAAACAAAACATAATTACTGTAACAAATAATGATAGACTTGCTATTCATCGACTAGAAAGTATCTACTTAGAATAAATAAATATACGTATGTACGCAGAAAAACGATTCAATGTTCCGACTAAAGCTTCACTTAATAACTGGCTTCTAATAAGTAGAAACAAATGATATTTACTCACATATGTATATGTATCTAACCTAGAGAACAACATATTTCAATCATTTTCAGCGTATTTCAAATGATGACCATTTAATAAATAAAATATAGATAGCTTAGGAATATTAAAACACACAACAAATGATAAAGAGATCGTGAGCGTCAAAAATGTTTCGCATCTGGATAATAATTACACAAATTTGCTTCCGGTACCGTATAAATTACCAGCAACTTTTTAATTAATAATTTTTTTACTCTTTAGTTACGGTTTTTAAAAAAATCTTTTTTTGACATACTATTTATATATATGTAGAAAAATTTATGAAAAATTGTGTATAAATTATAAAACTTTAATATTATCCTAAAATTCTGGAAGCTGTTTGCTCATAAAATTAAATTCTTTTTTAAATAATATTTGATTTATCAATGTTTTATAAATTAAAAGTTAACAACACAATTTTGGTATATTGGAATATTTATTTATCATAAAACAATTTTGTATAAACTCTAAAACTTTTATAATATCCAAATATTCTGGAACCTGTTTGCTTAAATAAAACTGTATGTACATACTTGTATATAAAATTTAATTCTTTATTAAATAATATATAATTGATAAAGTATATATCACACAATGTTATATAAATTAAAAGTCAACAAAATAATCTTGGAATATTTATTTATTTTAACAGTTGAATATTATTCAAATATTCTAAAAATTGTTGGCTTTAATAAAATTAATGAAATCACTAGTTAATTAATATTAATATTTGATTAACATAAAGTAATAATATCAATGTTATTTAAATTAAAAGTAACAAGAATAGTATTATAAATTGTTGTTTAAATTTTGTTTTGGAATATGTATTTATTCACCTGATATCTGATATCTGATTCAACAGATTTCGTTATTTTATAACCTATATGAAATGCCTACTATTTGATTTCAAAAATATTTTGTAGTTCATATCAAAGACTGTTTAATTTAGGAATATAATATTTGTAATTTCTAATCTGTGGAATCTCATCCTTCACTCTGTCTTCATATTGCTTGTGCATCAGCTTTAATTAACCCTATGCGCATTTTATGGAAACATAAACAAAACCCCGCCTTCATGGGCCTTGACTGTCGCAGCTGCTCAACTCCCACGGAACTGTAGCTTTATATTCAGCCACCTATCATGTGGCAGGCTCCTTCGACAGCATCAGCACAACCCTATACTTTGCCAAATGCCCCAGAGCGCAACATAATTTATTGTGATAAATAACATGAAACACAAACAAGTGAGCGCTGGCTTGGGCAATGGCCACAAGTCCTGCGGCCAGGTGGAAAGAAAAAAAAGACAAACACAACAACACTTAAATACTTACACTTTATAATCACCCGACATGAGCTTCACTATAACGGCGAAGAGTATGAAGACCACACACGCCAGGCTAATGAAGCTGGCACGGGCCAGCCGGGAGACATTTTTGTAGAGGCACAAGGGCACCACGACGCCTACGGTGACGAAAAACACAACGCCCAATCGAACAGCACCCATCGAGTCGCCCCAGGATGGGAAGAAGCGCACGAGCACTTTGGATAGAGTATCGCCCACGACGACATTGTACGATATCATGGCTGGAAACGTAAAGTACTTGTGTATGTAAGTCTGTTGTAATGTCAAGCGCCTAGGCACACGCCAAGTGCCGTATAAATTTCGCTCAACTGGCAACTTTCTGCATACATAGTTGTGTTTAACTTTTAACTAAACGCGAATGCCAGAGTTTGGGCTTAACAACAATTTTTGTTTTTTGTTTTGCCTCGTTCATGGCGCGCACTGATGGGATTTGCGATAAGCGCTTTAACTCGAGCGCGTGCAAATAGCAACTTACCCAGGAAGGGATACATAAACTGCAACAGCGATAGCAAGTAGTAGCCGTATTTGCCATATGCCGCCTCCATAATGCCAGGATAACTGAAGCGTCCGCAAATGTGACCGCATCGGACCTGTGTATGAAATGCGGCTTTTATCAAATGAGTGGCCTGTTTAGTGTGCATAAACATTAATTATTCAATAATTTTGCATGTTGAGAGGGTATTTACATGATTGCATTTTCAAAAGGTAGCAACGCACACTCCCAAACACATATGCTCTACTAAACAGCAACGATAATTTAACGGCATTGTAATTTCCGCTTCAAATCCAATTGCTGTCCCAGACCCATACACCAAAATGCTTTCAATTTCTCGCCAGCTTTAGCAGCAAGTGCCCCACATTATGTTGCAGAACGAAGCTGGGGCCAAACCATCAGGGTCAGTCCACAGTGGAATACGAGTAATTTGCAAACACTACTATTTACTTAAAGAGTAGGGAAAGGAATATTTTTGTGTTTTTCTGATTGCGTGCTGCTTCCCTCTCGCCGTTGTCTGAACACAAAAAGTGCTTTTAATGTCAGCACCAGCAGCTCTAGAAAATAATAGATGTTGATGGATATAAAGATTCAAATACTATATCGATTGTCTTTAATGAGACATCCAAATTATTAAATTTGTGCAGATCGAATCGGGCCCGATGGGAGAGCATTTTATTTGCTCAACGGACAGCCAAGCCCCGACTCACAGCTATATGGAGGTAGTTGAAAAAGTTTTGCTTAAGTGAGAAAGTAGAGCTCGATTAAAATTAACTTTGAAAAATATCAATAGCATTAATGGTTGCAATACTTAATAAAACCTATAACAAATGCAATTAAGTTAACTGCAGAAGAAGCTATTTATATTTCTTGTAATAAAAAACTTCTTCCTAAGGAAAGAATTTTGTAAAAATTTGCATCGATATACAATTTCATTACATAGATTTTAACCATCAGAAATATTTGATTCCAATGTATGAAATCTATGTTGATTTTGGAAAAACTTCAATAGTTAAAGCACTCAGACTGAATACGATTAAAAATTTTGTCAAATTCTTATTCTTATCTTATATTGTAATAGCCCATAATTTAGAAACCTAAACTCTTTAATGTATTTAAGGTTATCTGGCGCCTCCGTTAACATTTTTAAGGAAGAATCTGAGAATAAGAAAAAACTCTACTCTGTTGAAGGAAAATCTATCACATGTTAACTATTGTTTTATAAACACTTGGAGCTTAAAACAGTTGATATACTCTATAATAATTGTAAATTGATTTTATCTCAGTACTTATTTAAAGTCTAGAAGCAAATATTTCTACACAAAAAGTGGAAAAAATAAATACAAATGTTTCGAATAAAAACCACTTTAAAAATGTCGAGGATGTTGAAAAATTTGAATTTTGTGACAAATTTAATTATTAACATTAATTTTTTATTTCATATAAGCATTAATAAAGAAGAAGCCCTCTAACATTGACCCTAAACAAGACAATTTTTTTTCTTGAGGTCTTTCTAAATTTTGAAGTATCCCAAGAGGGTAGAACAACCTTTACTATTTATTATGATTATTAAATTTACAAATTACAGCAAATACAGGCAGTGTCTAACTTTTTTTTATTTGAATAAAAGCCCTATTAGGTAAAAAAGGCTTGTGACACTGTGCGGCTGCTTGGGTCAAATCAACTCATTGGCCTGTTCACATTTTGCAAGTGGACGCGCAATATATTGGCCTTTGAGCAGAAAATTTCATCAAATGTGATCAAATCAAGCCGGGACCAACGCTTCGTTGAACCAACGCTCATTTGCATGGCAAAGACCCCCTAAGCTCGCAGCCCACCCTCATGGCCCTTAGACCACGTTTACTTACCATCAGTATCAGCGAGTAGTCCGTTATGTAGGCGACCAAAATCAAAAGTGCCAGGCCGAGTCCAAAACCGGCGCGATGCAGAGCGTAGGGTATGCCGATGACACCGCTGCCCACGATGGAGTTAATATAGTTGAAGGATGCTTGTGGTAATGACGAAAGCGCGTCGGCAAGTGTGCCATCGGGATGTCGTTGTTGTTGTTGTTGCTGTTGTTGTTGCTGCTGCTGGCTTTGTTGTTGCAACGACTGCGAAAGCTGTCGCTGCTGTTGCTGGCCATGTTGCTGATGTGTTTGGTGGTCATTCTGGGCGGCATAAAACATGAAAAACAGACACAAAACATACACTCTTAAAAAATACACGTAGATTTAAATATTTGCACGTAAATTCAACTATTTTTATCATCGATTTTGATCAAAGTTTGTTTGTCGAAGACATAAAATACACGCACTCCAAATTTCCTAATTAATTATTTAAATATTGAATTTAAAGTGTGACTATATTTAATTAAAAGTTATTTTTTTCATTATTAATTGATTTTTATTTATATGCATATTTAAAGACATTTATTTTAATGACAAAGATGTTGTTTTGCATATTATTCATATTTGTATCAGTAATTGAAAATGTTTTTTTGCTTATATTTAATTGGAATATATGCATTTTTACTATGCATTTTTATATTCCTTCTTTTTTTTTTTTGAGTGTACACATTTGAGCCAAAGAGTAATTGTGTGTCAGATCGTCCACTCTGTCGGCCAGTTGATTATTACAGGTTGATTGGGATGGGATGAGGCGAAAATAGCCTCGAGTGCCTCTTTATACCAAAAGCAAAGCGTTTCGTCCGGTGCTCGGAATGTCCCTGCCAGTACACCATTGCGTATACGCAATGTGCAGGTGTACAAGTATCGCAAAATTGTGGTTGCCACCAAACGTACACAACCGGTTGCCGTTACGTGCCCCAATTACTAACGGAAATGTGCTGATATGTATGTGCATAGCTATTGTTCTTGGCATTTTCATTGTCATTTTTATGAGGGCCCCCGGCCGATGTGCAAACAAAATTACATAAAAGACAACTTTCATGTGTAGATATCAAATGTCTGAGTTTGAAGCAAATAAATGGCCGAAACAACAATACTCGTAGTCAGTCAGTCAGTCACATGTCACTCCCGCAAGTCCTAACCATACGGGTGTATAGGCCAGACTGATGTAATAAGCCGGGCCGCATCCATTTATGCGTCGCCTTCAACGTTTACGGCATTGAGTGAAAAGTTTTACAGCAGCTCGCAATTAAATAAGTTTACCGACCAACTTCCACGCATACACAATCACCAGAGCACGCCAACGCAGACGAGAAGCAAGCCAAATGAAAAACGGGAAACGGAAAACACAAACCAGAACAACTTCCACGGACACTCAACCTTCTGCTGCTGCTGCTATTGCAAAAACAAAAATTCCTTGCGCTTGTATTTGAGTTGAAGTTAAAGTTCGCTTTGCCCTTGCTTCGAAAACTGTAAGTAAATATTGTGCCAAGTTTAAGAGCTTCTGAGTAGGTGTTAGGGCATGAGCTGGTGAAATGAAAATGAGAATGAAAATTCATAAAACCAAATTACGTGCGACTCCATTTTCTAATTTAATCAACCGGCGTTGGCAGGTGGCAAGAAAGGTTGTACGAGTATGTAGCATACTTGCGGCCTTTCAACGGCCGCGTTTCAAAAGCGTTAACTGCTTTCAAGTGCGAGTGCCACACTCTAACGACATTAAAATTTCACTCTACTATATATTGTTATCAATAGCGCATATAGACAATTACACTACGCAACATATACCAGATTCCCCAGAAATTCAAGCTGGCAGCTATATCGCAAATCACATTCCATTAATGGTTAAGCTAGCTATACTATTTTTCACAGATATTCTAAACAGAAGCAGAAGCAAACTTCTTAATTAATCGGTAATCTTCTTTGAACATCTTTCAAATGACAAACAGATGCCTTATATACTTAAATGGCGGGAATTACTTTAAGGTTGATTAACTCAGGTTTAAGGAAACAATATGTCAGTTGATGTTTTCGACTTAAAATAAGAAGTGAATATCAGTAAAAAAAAAAAGCATTAATAAGTGCTCTGATATAATACGTTGATGGCTAGAAGTGTAGGTTATCCTGAAGAAACAATTGATTTTAACAGTATATGTGCGCTGATTGGAATAAGAAAAGATTATAAAATATATACACCAGCGTCCCGCGAATGGTGCAACACCATCAACTATATATATGTATGTAGGTTGACTGTTTAATGGGGTTGTTCTCCCTATTTTTCACCTTGGTTTTCCTTAGGGGGAAATAAACACTTGGTTTAAGGTTCAAATAATATAGTCTTAATAGTTTAAATTTAACAAAATCCATGTGACAATTTCTTTCTGTCCTTTCAACGCAACTTCTCTTTTCGATCTCTTCTTACAATCGATAATTCATCTTAAAGTTAGGGCTGGACGAACATTCGCGTACCAGGGCTACATAATCTTAAATAATACCTTTTTCCTACATATAATATATAACAAGACAAGTTTTTCTAAAAACTTGCTTAAGATCATATAGTTTTTGTGACAGCTATGATAATGATGATCATATTTGTACCTATAATATGAGGTCTAAAAAACACAATATACCCTTATACTGTGGACAAAATGTTGTAAATTATACAATGTTCTCAAAAGTTCATAACATTTGAAATGCAAGTGCTTGGATAGTTGTTGTTCAAGATCTTGAGATACGGGGAATTACTTAAGACTTAAGGATGATGCTCTCACAAGGGGCCTCGTCCTTTCAAATATTACTATATTCCTTCATTTCTAAGCTATTATTTTTAAATAATGATCAGAGTTTGTGCAGAGATATATGTTGAAAAGCTTAAAAATTTTTGTAGTTTAGTGTAATGGGCGACAACATCAAAGAAGCACCCATAAAGTCCCTTTTGTGTTTGGCAAAAATTAAACAAGTCCATTAGTGGAAGCGTTGAAACTATTAGGGCTTAAGTCGGTCGACGGTTTTCGCTCGATGCTTTCAGACTATACAACAAAGCCAGGGCCAAACCACACGTACATACTCGCACATACTATATGTATGTACATACAACTCGAAGTCCAATGGCAAAGTCAACATTAACGTCTATAACCCACAGCTAAGTGCTTGCAGGCTCAAAGCCCAGTCCTTACCCCGCCGCCAACTGCAGACATCAAAAGACAATGCCAGAGACCCTGTCAAGGCTGCGAGGACATTGCAGCGTTCGCTGTCTCCATTTGTGTGGCCAACTGTGCAAGACAAATGAAATTCCATTGCGTCCTTCAAGCTGCACAGAACCAGGGCACATGAAAAACCAGCCAAAAAAAAGCGTACAAAGAAAGGAATTGCCACTTGGAAGGACGACGCACATTAATGTGCCAGAACAGCATTGGAAGCCTTTGCTTGACCACTTCCGCCCCTTTTTGGGCCTTGTGCGATTCGATGTGTAGCCACTGCTGCAATATTTTATTTTTTCTTTTCTTTACCAGACTTAGTTGTGGGACATCAATAAAAACAGGGCTACTATACCTGAAGGAGGTTGGAGGAAAATGTCACATTTAACTACCTCATTTATTTTATTTGCCATCTCTTTTGGCCACTCAAAGGGAAAAACAAGCAAATACAGGGCAGAAAAACTTTGCTTGTTCTCTCATTTCTGCTATTTGTTCCCTGATTGCAAATGTTGCACTGTGTTGCTAAATTAGTTTGGCGAATTAAGGTGCTGCACCCACACACTGTGTGTTTCGAGAAAACAAAAATTGTTATGAAACATAGCTATTTAATTACAAAAGTAAACTTTATGGCCCGTGCTCCCATTAAAGAGGCAGCGATTCGATATTAAATAATGCTCGGCCCAAATCAACGAAGCGCATGGAAGCCTATTTGATATGAACATAAATAAAAAATGTAAAGCACACAGAATATATAATATATGAAAACTTTACCATCCCATGGGCATGCTGAGCACAATTCCAGCAAATTTTTACATAAAATGAAATTTTATATTGTCAACAGGCCCTTTTTTGTAACACACCGTTGCCTGTTCTGGCCACATCGAGTTTAAATTCGTCTGACAAATGCAAGGGCAAACAAGGGGGCGGCGACGCCAATAAAAATGGAACCGAACGACACTGTTAAGCGCATACGACAATTGTATACACTTTTGTTTAAAGGGAGATGAAATAGGAATATATTGTATAGTCGAAATTGTTCGCAACAATACAAACAAGTTTTCTTGCACACTTGATGTTTCAAATGAAAGGAAAAGAAGAAATAAATCCTGAACTAAATAAATAGTGGAAATAAATAAAGTAAATAAATAAAAAGTACACAAAGAATTTAGTATTAACTTCAATTAAAAGTCAATCAGCCCTTCATTGATTTTGTTTATACTAGAAAGTATCCTTTTGGGATTTATGTGTAGTCCTTACTTGTAGCCTGTCTGGCCAATGCATAAGCTTCAAATATACAATATTATATCGTTTAGTATGAAGTACAAGAGCTTAAATAGCATACAAATACAGGAAACAACAGCAAACAAAACAGACATTCCAGATATACACCAGCAAATTTTAAAAATACAACCAGAGAAAATTAAATATGCAATATTTTTAAATCGCGAGGGAAGTGTTTCAATATGATGAAAGATTCAAAAGAAACAAAAAACAAATTTGTATTAAAAGCGCTAAATTGCAATATAAACTTTAAATTAATCATAAAATAAATTCTAACACCTACTTCTGAAGAGAAATAGTTCTTATGTATGTAGATGATCATAGCTAAAGGGACCCAAAAAAAAAAAAAATATATATATTTGATGACACGCTCATTTAAATACTACAGAAAATAAATAAAATTATGAATGTTTATTCAAGTGTTTTTACGTTTGATGTAGGCTTTATCAAATGCTGTTGTGGATTCTGGTTCCATCTCCTTTTTTCTGCATAAATAAGTAGGTTAATGCTTACAGTTGTGCCAAGCACAGAAGAGATAAATATGTGTCCACAACAAAATGAAATGTTGGCACATCCTATTTATACGAGTGAATTATTAATTAGCCTTTCCTCTCCAACATATTATCCGTAATTGTGGTTGAGTCCAATTGGTGCCTTTTGGAAAGTTGACCCTAATATCTGCACATGCATTTATTTCGATTAGATATGCCTTTAATAATTCATTTGATTTAGGAGTAGAGAATGCCAAGCTTGGCAATTAAAAGGCACACTCCAATTTACTTATCAGAGGCATGGGTAACAACAAGAAAAAAATCTTTATTTGCGAATGAAATTGGAATTGAAAAGAAGAAAAGTGTGAAAAAACAGTGAGCTTTTCCATCCATTCACACCTTTCCGTTTGGGCAGCAGGCAACGAAGCGTTTCTAATAAAAGGCAAATATGGCAGCTCAAACGCAAACAAAAATACAAACGCAAGCACAAATATGTACATAGGCACACACACATACTAACGTATTCGGATACATATACGAGTAAGCTGCAGGGGCAGTAATCCTGTTTACCAACAACAAACCTTTATCATGCACCGCACGATTTTAATTAATAATATTCGTGTTATCCCAATGCTCCGTTGCCTCAACACATGTCCAAGGCCACTCATAAGGATTGCACATGAGTGCTAAAAAAAGCGAAATAGCCTGGATAGGAAAAAGAGGCTGGACCAGCAAAGGGCAGTCCGACACAGGTGGCATGGCTTGGTGGTATTGCTCCTGCCCGACCTTGTCCCCGCTCGCATCGTTACGTGCAAGTGGTTTGTTTGTTTAATGAAATTAGACGCCCCAAAGGAACAGCAAAACATGTTGTAGCACGTGTTTCTGTACATTTCAAATAAAAATAATAATAAATAAATAAAAAAAAAAAGATGAAGCAGCCAACTCCCGCTCTTAACCCGTGGGCAAAACGTTTTAATTTGTTCGCAATGTAAGCGTCATTTAAGCTGCTGCCTACTCGCCTGCCAACAGCCTTTAAAAAACGCATACTCTCTGCAATATTAAACAGGTAAACACGAAAAGTTGTCGCCATGCGGCACACACTCACACAGAGGGACTCGCAATTAACATGCCGCAATTATGCGCATGGCAAATGCTGAGGTGTGCTTCCTGGCAGGGGGGATTGTGGCCTACGGGACAGGCGCGGGGTAAAAACTGCACGCCCTGCTGCGCTTTTGAATTGTGTTGACTGTTCACTATTGACATAACCGTCGACATCTCGACAAGGGCGACAAGGAGAACGACGTCGAGAACGGAGCGCCCCCAGGCTGTCGGCCTTGTTGTTGTCGCTCTGCACAAACACAGACGCACACGTGTACAAGAACATTCAAACAGACACATGCATACAGTTAGCAAAAGCAAAAACAAACACAAATACTTGTACAAACAAACGATCTGCCATTTTGGCAAAAGTTTTTGCTCTTTTTGCTTCATCCTTTGTCTTGTATCTCTTTGGAAAAACAGCAATGTCTGCTCTTTTCCCCGAAAAACTATTTAATTAGTTATTTAATTAGATTTTTGCATATTTCTCCATTTTTGTCGGACTTCTGCTTGTAATTATTTCTTCGTAAATAAGTTATATTCAGTTGCCAAAAGAACGGAAATTAAAAAAAATAACGGCAGCAAACAGCACGATTTAAGAAGATTTTATTTAAATACAGTGAAGCCTTTGAAGTTGACAGTCTTTTACAGAAAATAGCATTGTGACAAAATGTTTCTTGTCTAAAATAAATTATTAAATTATTACACAATTGCTATAGCAACACTGCTCTGTTATTAACATAATGTAAATTGGCTGCTTCTGCAGCGCTCTCTTGATCTCGATAACATAATGTAAATGGCAGCGCTCTCCTGCTCTCAAGCTACAGTGTTAGGGCCTTGCTTTAACCGAAAAAGTTTTGAAGTCACTATCGACTTACACAGCCTAGAAGTTGTTGCTGTTCTAACTCCACGCACGGTAACTTCATTGTTGTTCACAGCGAAGTAAAGACAGTCGATGGAAGCCACAGCTAATAGACATTAATTTACAGCTGCCCTAAAAGCTTGTTAGCTCAACACTGTAAACTTTAATGTTAATGATAATTGACTTAACAAATTTTGTGAGTTGCAGTCTTACTTTCGCCACTAACTTTTTATCTCATCAACATGTTTTTTTTATCAAATCGTTTAAGGGAAAAAAGTATTTTTTATACAAATACTGTAAAATTTCGTAACTATAGTTCCAATACGAGCATATTATTTTGACAGACAAATAGATCGAAACGCCTCACTTCATATAGTACATACCCACCTATAAACTTAGAAGTAAATATGTGTCTACCTAAATATAGGTCAGTTGGGCCACAAACAAGACACGAGCAGCTATTCGAAGTGTAAATTAAATTACTTTCCAAGCAGTTTGGTATGCTGTCAAGAAGGCCATAACATTTATGGAATAAAAGGAATACAGAAATGCACAATCTACGATCTAGAATTGTTCCTGGACTTGTATCGAAACCACTTTGTATTGGTTACTTGACCTTAATCTTTATTTTAGTTTCGAAAATTTAATCAAACCTCCTGTAAAATAGTATGTAGGCTTTTCTTTCAAAATTAACATTAATTTGCACCCTATTTCATGATTTATATGTCGTTTGAAGCGGAACCAAATGTATATTTTAAAGATGTTAGCCCCTACTTCGAAAGGCCAGCAGAATTCTTCTGATGCTATTGAAAATCGTTTTTCAAATTGCTTCTGGGTATTCTATTCTTAACTCTGAAAGTGTATTTTAATTTGACATTGACCATCAAATAAGCTTTAATATTGCTTTCGCCACTTAATAGGCGTCCGTAATTCGTGTTTACTGTAGGAGTTATTCAAAGCCCTCAAGCAATGTTTGCCGCTGCATTCTTAATTGCCAACGTCCAGCGGCCTAAAAGACCAAGAAAAACTTTGCCATGAATATTTAATTGAACAGAAATGTAGTAATATCATTGCAAGCATTTATCAACCCATTGTGTGGGCATAAGTTTTTTGTTTTTTTTTCCCCTTTTTTTTGCTGTCTTCAATCTTTTCATTGCTTCCATTAGCTAAGCAAACAAGCTGTCGCCTTCACTGTGCATAGGCAAGCAAAACATTGCGGAGGGTTTCTGTTTGCAAGCCCAAAATGTCCAGACCTTAATATACTTGTATGTTTTCGTCATGCTTTTGTGACTAATGGATGAGCCAACACTCCAGTCAGCTGGGAAAATGAAACAACACATTAACACATCTGTCAATTATCATCGCTCAGAACTTCAATTATGCAATTTCACTTGCAGAATGCAGCGGCAAAATCGATTTCATGTAATAGTGACACAAGCACATTTCTCTTCATATCAACTTCCGACGTTTTAATAAATTAAAATGAAATTGAATAGCAGGCGCGTGCGCCTCCCGCTGTGCTATGCGGAGATGTGCGAGACAGAAGCGGCGCGAAAATATTTTTTAATAGAAAAAATTCTTTTGATGCCAGAGACCATAAGACAAGAAAATGCAATGCCATGCCGGAAATTGACAGAGCAAGTGATTGTGTCTCTCTGTGTGTGACTTCAGTGGCCCGGAATTCCAAAAGTGTTGTGCGTAAAATGCACTTTTACCCTTGTATACTATGTATGTATATAAGTATGTTAAGCACATATGAAGTCACCATTTACTCTTATATACTATGTATGTACATAACAATGTTAAGCACATATAAAAATAAATTCAAAAAAATATCGTTGTTTTCGTTAAAAATATGTTAAAATAATCATACGGTTTTATAGTGAAAATACTTTTTATGGGTATTGGCATTAAAATTAAGTGCAAAACTATTGAATGGCCATGGAGCAATTTGAAAACATATTTGCAAGGGCATAAGAAGTTGTTACTCAATCATTCTCCATATTGTTGTAGAACACTTGTTCCATGTTTTTAGAAATCAATATTTATAATTACACATAAGTTACTATATGGTATTCATTTCTGCTCCAATTAAAATATATATTTCTGATATGCAATAGCGTCGATCTTATTTGAAACTTAACATGTGGATGGCGACCTTTTGTGTGCGAGCTTAAAGACAGTCAAGGGAACTACAGTCTAAGGTGTTGCTACGTTTTACCTTCATTATGTTGTTAAAGTCATCAAATGCATAGGCCTCGGCGGCAGAAACATCGCTGCCCTGGAAGCGGTACGGGGCGGATGGAATTGGCAGAATTGCAGTTTTGAATTTTATGAAATTGAAAATCAAACGGTTAGCATTTTAATTTATTTCGTGTTAAGTGCTTCGGTTTTGTGGTGCGCTTGTTAAATTTCAAGTGATGTGCACTTTAATTGGTGACGTTTCGTATTTAGTATACAACAACAACAAAAGGAAACAAATGAAATACACATACGCGTAAATATTGAAATTGGTGGTCATAAAAAAACATGCGCTATAAAAATATGGCCTCTGTCTGCATACTAAATACCAAAAGTAACATTTTTGAAAGGCAATTGTGTACGGAGCGAGTGGGAGCGTGCTAGGGCTTGAGTAACATCGTCCTATGGCAAGCGAACACGTGTTTTTATTGCTTTAGCTTACCGTCATCAGGGAAAATGCGCATCGTTTTTGCTTTCGTCTCTTTTATGATGCCACTTCTGCTTCCGTCAATTTCTTACCAGCGGCTGGTTGTACACAACGCACTACAGACTTGAGGAAAAATGCTCACTTTCATTTGCCTTGAATTCATCGCTTGAGCATGAAATATAAACGCACACTCACACACACACACGTATACAAACATAAAACAAGCGCCAGTGCCATTTGTATAGCTTTGTGTCAAAACAGGAAAACAAAAATCGCCACGAGAATAAAGAATGATGAAGAAAGAAAAGCAAGAAATCGAAAAACGCGATATGTGGCAGAAAAACCATTTAAACTCGTCATAGTCATGTAAGTCCCGGATGGCACACGCACACACACACACACAGACACAGAGTATCAAACGCAGCAATGAGCTTGTGAGTGCCAGAAAGAGGAAGTAAGAGATAGCGCACCTTTACAGCTAAGCTGGCACGCATTTGTTTGCCATTTTTTATGTGTTGCAAGAGATTTTTATTGCACACAGCTCAGCACAGCAGCAGAAGCAACAACCACGAGTAATGGTGCCGCAAGTCTTTCGCTCAGCCTCCTATGCTTTGTCGGCTCGCGTTGGCACTGATAATATTTTATTTCGGTTGCCAAATACACGATGCCATGGCCATACATAAAATAATGGCTCACATCAAATCAGCGCACACACATGCAACATTTTATGTTGTCATATTTCTAGCACAGCAGAGCCAACAACAGCAACAGCAGCAGCAGAAACGATACGAACGACAGCAACGCTTTTCAATTTCTTTAGCAGCGCCGTAGCGTATGCAACAATATTTCACAAACATTGCATTGACACAGCCATATTGGCAAGAGAGTACACACACACACACAGCAACAGCAACAACGAAACCCCCGTTGCCAATGCCCCCCACGTCGTTACTGCGTGCACTCGTGAAAACCTCTATGCAATGCTTATTCAACAGTTTTCCTTACTTTTACGCACACTATGCAACAAAAGCTTGTATTTTCTTTTGTATTCTCTTTTTTTTCCGACCCTGTTTTTATCATGAAAGTTCTTGGAAAATATCAGAAAAAATTTATATATTACGTATAGTGGGGGTTTGTTTAAAGTCCGAACCAGTTTTATACTTCAAATACTATAAAAATCTACGTAGAGAGAAAAGGAAATAGTGGCCAATAAGAAGGGACTATATATTTATTTATTTTTTTAAACTTCTACCATTTTTTTTAACAGGTGTGGCAGCTTAATAAATTGTTCATAGAATATAACTGTACAAGTAGGATTACACTTAAATGTATGAAACTAAAAAAAACTAAAAATTATTTACAATATTTTAAAAATGAATGTAGTTTAAGTATAAAATCTCGTGGGAAGATGTTTATTTTTTATTTATTTACAAACAAACATTGACTATCCACATAGAAGGAAAATATATAAAAATTATAAAAGGCATCTTATAAGCTATAAAAGCCTAAGAAGCAGAAATCAAATAAATTACAATAATGTTTTATTAACGCTTCCGTCCATCCTGTGGGGGATACTTTTTAAGTCTTCCTTTTCTCGGTCTTGAAAGCAGTTTTCTCGCAAGTGCGTTTCTCATAGCTTTCTGCGTGAGCTTGAATGGCATCACCAATCTTAAGAATATTGTATTGTGGTCCCAAAAGTTGTATAGAGCTTAAACAGTTATACATATATGACAAACAGCCCTGACGTTAGGCCTGATTTAAAGCATATGATAAACCGCAGAAGATGACCAGCTACAAATTACTTTTTTCTCCCACCTGTTTAACTTAACACAAAAGTTTTTGTTTGGTGTCTCAATTTAGTTGCATAGTGTTTTATTTATTTTTGTGTCGAGATAGCACAAGGAGACGTTTGCATTTAAATGTGCCATATGTTGCTGCCAAGCAGCTGCAAGTGGCATGTCATGCATTGGAATTACATAACGTGCGAGGGACTTGCACAGATATTACGCATACGCAACAACAACAAGAACAACAACAACAACAGAAGCCATTGCCGTAGTCGACATAAAAGCACTCACAATATCCACTTAGGAACCAAAACAATCACGCATACGACACACATCTAGGCGCATGTAGGTTCGGTAGTGTGCTTATAATGTGATTTTTGCTTGAATTGCGCTCGTTCACACCTTATACGAAGGCAACAGCTCGACAACTGCCAGCCCAATCAGCGGACACGTGTCCTCAGACAAACGCACGCAAATATATCCATTTAATCACTGTCACTGTCATGGCGGGGTCAACAGCATTGGCCTTCAATTTGTTTAAACAGGTTTCTTTTTTCTACTGACAGCAAAGCAATTACGTTCACGTATTTCCAATTCATAATAGTCCCAAGCATGCACAGGAAAATGTTTTATTTTCAATTAACTAGGTCAATTGTGATTGAATTAATTCAACGATGCAAATCTGCTGGATAGCATTAAATCAATTATTTACTATAAAACAACGTGCGATTACAGAATTATTTGTCAATTTCATTTGAAAATGAGTACTGTTTTGTTCGTTTGTTTTTTTTAAAAGGGAGCTGCTTCATAATAAGGACACCTTCATTTGTTAGAAAACCATGGGGTTAGAAATTAATTTATGAATTGCCAAAATCTGGAGAATTACTGCACCTTCTATGATCTCTCTAAAATAAAATAAACACTTTTCAACGACTTTATTTAGCTAAAGTATTGGTAATGCTGTTTCGTGTGTTAAAATTATATTCATTGTAGATTCTGCTACCCGAAAAGATATATATCGTTCATTAATATATGTTGTTACTACAAATTAGTCTTTTTTTATATATTCTTGTAATACAAAAATATCCGAACCAATCTCAAACACACTTCTCAGAAATTTTGATGTAACAAATACGATTTCCTTTGATTTATAGTTCGTCTTGGCGGTACTAAGCTATAGCAAGCCATATTTATAATATGATTTGTAAGTGAATTACGGTTTTATGGAGGCTATTGGATCGTCGTCGGAGATATGTCAGCACATATAGAAATCGTTATCTATACTAAACAGTTTAGCTGCTGTTGTCCATATTTCTGGCTCTTGTAAGAAACACGATGGGGCAGAAATATTTAACGCTTTACATTTAATATTTCAGCTAAAAATTCGCAACAAACTACGAAACAGAAGTTCCCCAGCAGGTCCTTGACTTTCACCATCCTTTCACAGTATTTTTCCAAGAGCTATTGCCACGCACAAGAGACTGTTATTTATAAAATTGGTAATTGTCAGGAAGACTTGTTGCAAGGCTTGCCCTGCAACCTGCTCATTACACAGTGCAGGCAGCGGCCACAATATCACGTATACGCCATGTGTGCTCTTATTGCTGTTGCCAAACGAATGCAAATAGTACGAAATGGGAGTGCCCAAACAGTAATGATGGATTGCAGCCAAATAAAGTCTGGATATCAGTGCCATAGCGACGACGACCAGTTCAATGTTGAACCCCTTACACGCTGCTCGACACTACTCGGAATTGGTGCGCAAATTGAAGAGCATACATGAAATCGATTTCTGGGCCAAGCATGAAGGATAAGGGGAAAAAAGTGCGCGGGGCCTGTTTGTAAATAATTGTGATGCACTTACACATTTTGCCGCGATTGTGCCCGCAACATGATTGCACACGCCCACACAGCTTAAGCTCGACATTGATTTCTCTTATCTCGCCGAGGCGCAACTTCGTTGCCCGCCATTGTGGCATGTCGCGTATACGCGTGCCTATGTGCGGTTCATGTGGCACGTGCAGGCGCAGGCGAACTTTAGCAGGACTCTTTGCGCTGTGTGTTGTCATCTGTCGCGCTTGCTGCAGACGTTTTTATTTGCTATTTAAACAATGCCGACGCTATGTGAGCCTTCGCTTTATAGTTGAAGCGCAACTGCGACCCCGAGAAGAAGAAAGTCAGGCATGGTGTCAGGCATGGTGCCTGTGCCTGGCATACATAAGGCCATACATGCCATGCATATTAAACTGTGATTAAATGCGCTATAAAGAGCAAAGTGAGCACAAAGTAATAATCATAACAATGCCGACCGTCTCATCAGTATGTCGAGCGTGATGGCACTATGAGGTTGCACTAAGAAGTAGGAAAAGTTCCATAAATCACGAGCAATAACCGCGAGCTTTTAGTACCCATTTGAACGCTGTGTGTAATAAAAGTTGTAAAAGATGTGGTAAATGCTTAGCTAACATGAAATCTATCCAACAAAATTAATTGTCCCTAGACTATTTAAACAAAGGATACCCGAAATAGTTATATTTTCTTCTTAACTTAAGGATGCTGCCAAACATGCTTTGCAGCATTGTTTTCATTAAAGCTGATGATATTTCAATAGAAACCTCATATGCTTTGGGTGCTATGTTGAGATATTCTCATAATTACTTCTTATTAGCAATTTGTTTTTCCTCAATTTGAATGTGAGTGCCGGTTGCTCTTTACTTCCAAATGCAAAACCAGTGTGTTTCTGTTCACTATTCTTTCCCTTTTGTGTGTTTCTCGAAATGGAATGGTGTTCGTACATTGTAAATATGTTATTAATTTTTAAATACTACGAACAATTTCTTGTTTTTATGTCCCCAAAAAATAAAACTAAAGAAGTTGTACGAAAATTGGAAACTATTTACTATTTATTTAGCTGATAGATACTATTTACTTCACTTGTTACTCACTAAGCTGGCGGAAGTCATGAATAAAGCAGACGCCCAATGTTAGAGCATTGCCTCATAGATTTGCTGGGAAACCCCAAGCACTCTCCCATTACATACTTGTTGTGAACAATACATATTAGTAATCACATTTTTAAACGCGTACCCAGAACTTTGACGACGATAAGATTACTTTAGTCAATAGCTATAAAACTTTATCAATGCTAGTTATAAAACATATGTAGGTATGACATCGATAACGTTTACACCCCATATGCACTATATTTGCAGCGACACAGCCAAATGTTCGAACAGTCTGAAATTCGAAGCCAGTGAGTGTAGATCTGTCGAAATTAGCTACGAAAATGCCGCACCACCACGGACCACCTCCACCACATCACCATGGGCCACCACATCACGGTCCTCCCCATCATGGACCTCCACACCATGGACCCCCACATCATGGACCTCCACACCATGGACCTCCACACCATGGACCTCCACACCATGGGCCCCCACACCATGGCCCTCCACACCACGGACCTCCCCATCATCATTACTAATGGAAAATAATTCGACGCGCTAAAAAATTGTCCTTATCTATTTAAGCTAGGATACTAATATTGTTAAGTGATTAATGGAAATTTTTTGGAAGGATCCTATTGAAAAATGGTGTAAGGAATAAATAATACATTTTATATAAATAATCTGAAATTCATGAGCAATAAATATTCTGTGCACTAAAAACTGACAAATCTATATGCAGTGCAGGTAAGTGTAATGTTTTTCTGACTGTTTTATAACAAAACAGCAGCTCTCAGAATGTCAGCTCTTAGTGGGGACAATTCGTATTAGAAGTGGAAAAAAACAACTATACCTAACAATGGTTTTAAGGGAACTAAGTGTAAATGCTTCGATATACCCCTCGACTTTATGGTGTTCTGCTTAATTCTATATATGCTATCATTTGAGCAGGAAGATAAGCTATCAGGCAAATAATATTGATAAAGTATTTACTTAGACAGGCATATCTCTGACGCCGCCCACAGCGATAGCTGAAGTTTCTTTTCTATTATATTTCGACAATACTGCGAATAGAATATTTCTCGGCTTTATCTGTTGTAGTTCATATTCGAAATACTTCTTCTTCACGTTTTTTTCATGTCTTTGTCGGTTTTTTCGTATTTTAATGTGGATTTATTGTGTTAGCTGTGTGTTAAAGTTGTGTTTCATAAATTGTATAGCCTTTACCGAGCATTCTTATTGTTAGATTTCGACTTTGTAGATGCACATTTTTATCTTTATTGAAAATAATTATCATTTTACGCGATATGTTAAAATAAATTTCTTTTAGAGAGCCAAGAAATATACATACTTGTATATCAATGACTTGTGAATTTTTCTATGAAGCACTATATTGCTTAGATAAGTTTATAAGCGTATTTTCCAAAATCCATATATACACACATGTTAAAATTTTGTACTTTATGATGTACTGCTATAGATTTAAAAGAAAGTATCCAGGGGGAAAAGATACTTTCTTTTAAATCTAAAGTATCTTTTCCCCCTGGATATTCAGAACTATCTTTCTTTGCATACAAATATTTTAACTTATGCACGCTAATCGTTTTCACTAGTTTTAAAGTTATAATTACAAATATATGTGAGAGCCCTTAAATGTTAACGCAATTTTCAATTTCTGTTTGTTGGATCCATAATTGTACTCGCTTTTAATTTCACATTCTAGAGTCTGGTCTGAATTATTTAAAAGCCTAAATGCCATATAAAAAAGCATAATATTGGCACATATAATGGTCGATTTGAACTCCACAATCAGCATTCAAATAGGAAGCACTGTAATATATGCAAAATTTATTCTAAAATCTAAGGCACTCACCAATGAAGACTGTATTGAAATGCAGTTTGGAGTACAATGTTTCATGTAACTTGATCGATTATGCAATAAACAATCATTGCATACCTCAGGGCGCGCCATAATATTTTGCATGTCGTGGCATTACGTTGTATAATTAATATTTTATACAAAATTTGCATGATTAAGTATTCAACATAGATCCAACGATGTTGCAAAGTTTAAGCTCGAGGGACTGCAAGTGTTGAAACCCCAAGTAAGCTGGTATGGTGCACAGCTACTCACACAAACACACACATAGACTCACAGAGTAATGTGTACATATAAATTACTTTGCCGTACAAAGGTCAGGAAACAAATAATATATAACTAAATTTCATATTGCATCCGCAACGAGCGCCGTCAGCGAAGGGCAAGTAAACAGCTTGTTGCCAAGCAGCAGGTTCAGGTTCATTTATAAGTCTTACACTTTTCATCAATCATGAAAAATTTAACAGCAACAGCAGACAGACAACAAACCACATTCTCGTGTGCACGTGAAAGTTTCCTTCCCCGCGTTGCCTACACACGCGTGCCTTGTGTCTTTCATTTATTGAATTATCACTCAATCAAGCTGTGTTAGAACTCATGGGCCAGGACTACAGCGTGTGTCATTATTTCAAGGCGTGCGTGTGTCCTAGATGGGCGGTATTTAGTCCCACCCCTGCCGAGTCGAGCCAATTTGCCTGTCTGGCGCATTTGTCATTAAAGCGCGCTACAAATTGATTTCATACATGATTTAACAGTTTCTGTGATTTGCACGCAACGCAATTCGGGCAAATTAATTGTGGGTTTTTGCCAGTGCAGCAAATTTAACGAGCCAGAGGCATCGAAGCAACCTCCCTTTGTCTACTCTGGCGTATGTAGCTGGTCCTGAAATGTTGCGGTCGACCACAGAACTGCCCTTTGGCAAATTGATTTTTGTCTCGCCCAAACGTTTCAGCATGGCTCCAAGCTTGCCATTTATTTTTCATAACAAGCTTAAAGGATTATAGACACGTCAAACATTTTTCAGTCATGCGCGCACACACACACACACACACGCACACGCAACTGTACAAATAAACCCTTGTAAATTTGTATTTGTTATATACGAGTACATATACAACGAAATGGCTTTACAAATTAAATATATCAGCCGTCCCACAAACATACACACAAGCCATTGACTAAGAATGGGATAAATATTTGATTGATTACCCGAGAACTAATCGTTCAGTTGACAGTTGTCAATCGTTTTGGAGCTAATACGTAGTTGACAAACTGTCAATTGTGACAATTATATAGTAACTAGTAGTGTGTATTATACTTTCAAAAACACTTTGCTGCCTCTAACATATCTTTCTTACAGATCCGTTGACTCCGTTTTCTTTGTCAACTCATTAACTCATTATTAAGAAAAAATTGAGCGAGAACGATTCCAAGAATATAATAAAGCTATATAATTTTCATCTACATGTGGAGACCAATTAGAATTTTGTATGGACATTTGGAATAGCTTCCAACATTATATCTAGGTGGATATGATGAGACAGAATTCTTCTGATTCTATCGAATTCTCTTTTTCTCTCTCCAAACTTCGAATACTGCTCATGCATTACCTTTTATTTTATAAAACAAAGTTTAGCAATAGACATGAAGACATCTGGTATTAAAAATGGTATTAAATGGTATTAAATAAATAATTATTCTACAAGTATGGAAGGCAAATCATATTTTAACCAATGGCGTAACATTTTGTTTGCCTATTTATTTAAACATTTGGCATCACGTAACGAAGAAAGCCAAGAAAACAAGGATAATTACATCTAGAATCTTTAGTTTGAATTGTGTCTGAAGTCCTTTTGTACATAAAACGAAAAAAATGATTGAAATAGTTTGCCATTAAAACAGAGATAAAATGGGGAATTATAGTATTTCCCCTTTTAGTCTAGGGTAGTTCTCAAATTCCAGTTTTGCTTTAAATTTTAGCTAATCGATTCATTCCAATATTCAAAAACAGGTTATCATTTAACAAATCCATCACAAACAAACAACTACTGAGCAGCACTTTAATTGCGTTCAATTCAGTGGATATGGGCAACATGAATATTTTAGATTATAAATTGATATATTCGCAAAGATAACCTGAAACTCAATTTCTGGCGCTTTCATACTGCAATCGCCATTTAATATACATCATGCAAAACCAATTAAAAGTTTCGAGCCATTGAATAAAAAGTAAATACATAAAATCACAATAGATACTCGCATGCATTTGAACGCATCCATATCTATGTACATACTATATGTATATAGTATGTTGATGACAGATTAAACACTCATACACACACATTTATATGCATGTACATGTGTGTAGTTAAAACTGGCGTACATACTCGAATTCCCATTTGCAAAGTTATTCAATAAAAGACAAATGCTTTTATATAATGGCTAAAGTTTTAGTTACATGCGGCTAGTTGTGTGCTGGGAGTCCCTCGATATAGGCGCTAACTACCCCTCACACACACACACACACGCACTCACACACTCACGCACTACGCACTCAAGGCTGTGGCAAGTTCGCAAGGTGCAATTAAACCATTGTGTGATAAGTAAATGAGCGCAATTGCTCGCAATTAAAGCGAAACAAAGAAATGTGCACGGAAATGTGAAAAAGAGTTAACAACTACAGAGGCAAATAACATTGGCTAAAGTGTCTGGGCGGTGTACTGTACATTGTGGCATACTAGTGAGTATGTGAGTGGACAGGTATGTACATAGTGCACTGGGGAATGGGGATGCTTACCTGTCGCTGCAGAATGTAGCTGAATTCGGTAGCTGTGTTCCGGCGGCTGTCGCTCATTTTGTTAGTTTGGAGTTGCAGGTGTTTTTTTTTTTTTTTTTTTTTTTTGCTAATTCACACGTTCTAGAGCAAACTGTAACTGTTTTTTTGATCAGGTGGGTTGGTGACTTGTTTCTTTATCCGCACTCAAGTGTTACTTAGATTATGTACGAGAAGCAGCAGTGGACTGAAATGCAGGAGAAGAGCAAACAAAAAACAAGTAGTATGGTGCCAAGTTTAACTTTTTACGCATGCCAATCGAATTTTGCACCGCCATGGCAAACCGTGACCGTCTCGCTTCGTTATGGATGCAAACAAATAACATTTTCTTTTAGTACTACAATCCCTCTCTACCAGATATGTTGCTCCTAATTTTCCTACTCTGCGTCGCTTCATCACTTGGTAAGTAATAACCTGTTTTTAGTTGTTATACGTATTGGCTAATAGCTGCAATCTTTTCACACCACAGCAGACGACTTTAGATGCTTTCATGACCAATCCAACACTGATCTGCGTTGTAAACTTATGACCGTATATTCAACCTTTTGGATTCCCGTACATAAAAAATGTGTTCCAAGAACGTTGAGCATTTGTTTTCGAGGACACAACGCAAAGCCCAAGTATTCAAGAGCGTTTTCCAAAAAGGAATGTGAAGCGATATGCCTGAAACGAAAAGCCAAACCAAAAGCTACCAAGGCTCCTTCAGTAACTAGTACTCCCAATGCATAAGAAATTAAACATTTATGAAATCTAAGCATATCGACAGTTTTTGTAATTCTTTTCATCACCATTTTTACTGAGTCCAAATGGAAATCATTTACCTTGACAAAATAGAAAATCATTATGTATACGACGTTATTATATATTGCGATTAGAACCAATCGTTTGAATAGATTATTGAACTTATTTAGCATTTATTCACTTATTAATTTTGATTCGCTTTTTGTTTTTGTTCACCTATTACTATTTCATTGAAAATTAAAAGAACTATTGAATAAATTTAAATTATTTGTAATAGAGTGAGGAACACATTAAAAAGTAAATAGCCAAAAAGAACTGTCGAGTTAAATGAAGTTCATTCCACAACTCCGAAGAGGACACTTCATGTTCTTGATTAAGAACTTAGCTCTTATGATAAGCAAGTATTGTTAACGTTATTTCCCATCGGATTTACTCTACACACAATTGTATATATGTACATATGTATGTCTATAGCTTATTTACATTTTCCTTTAAGTCGATAACACATTGCAATGTGGGAGATTTTATTGTGTCGATAGCAAAAGTAAATTGGAAAATACATATTGTCTTGCAAGGACATCCGGTTTTGTGGCAAGGAATCTCAACTCAGCGTCTAACTCAACCCAATGAACACAAATGTTTCACCAATTGCAGCTTAACTTTCAAAATATGCAGATTCAATTATCAAACACTAAGAAAACCATATGGAGCAATCGAAAAAGCATTTCGATTAAAAGTTTTGTGTTTATTGGCACTTTTGACAAAGTGTTTCCATGAAATGCATGTTTTATGTTTTTGCACAAATTAAAAACCTTTAAATTATTTGTAAAACATATTTCGAATGGGTGTCCAAAGGATATTTTTCACAATGAGATTAAGCTGAAAAATGTTCATTTGAAGTGTTTGTTTCAATGAATGTATAACGTTTTTCAAATTGGATGAATAGTTAAGCTATAAACATTGGCTGAGCTGCTTAACATTGCAACTTTAAATGCATAATTCCATTCAATTCAACTCGCTCAGCTTGACTTTAAATGGATAATTTGTCTCACTCATTTGTCTGCTCACGTGTCCACAACAATTGACAGACAAAATACACACAGCGAAACACACGCAAGAAACTATTCAAGATAGTATGTAGTTTAGTTCGATTTTGAGTTATTGTTGCTTGCATAATACATTTAATTGCATTTATAAAATATTTGCCTTAATTTTTGCGCACACACTTTGAATTCTACAATTTGATAATCCGTATCTAGCGACTTCGTTGCCACGACGCTTTCGTTAAGACTGCTGCAATAAAAATATATTGCGAAACACTCAACAAGGATAACATTGGCGGTGTCCTGTCGTCTGTTGTTGGCGCTTCGTCCTAGTCGCGCCGCCGTCGTCGTCGTCCTCGTCGTGTTCTGTTTGCTGTTGAAGTTTTCTGCTCATTGCTTCGCAGCTGTTTGCTGCACGTTTTGTTGTTGTAGTTGCCTTTTGACTTTGAATTTGCCAACAACAATGCGCACACATATACGAGCGTTCTCTCATACACACACACACACACACATACCAATGAATACCCTCATCACGCTCTGCTCTCAGCTTTCTCACAATAACAAAACAGAAGCCGGAACTGACCCCAAGTTGCCACATGGTCCATATTGCTTTAAGATGCTAAGAAATGGAAAGAAAACAAAAATGAATTACAAACAATTTAAGAATGAACTTTAGTTTCGTTATATTTCCCTTTACTTTGAAATGTGAGTGTAAAGCATATTTGTATTTTAATAAAGATTGCATAAAACAGGGGCCATCTGGCAACACACGGCTTATAATTTCATTCATGCTTTTTTGGCAAAACAACTTGAGCGAACGGGAGAGAGTGTTTAAAGCGCGAGTGACGAAAGCTTGCGCACGTGTTATTGTGTTGCGAAAAGCTTTTCTTAGAGGGCCGTTGTAACATTAGAGATGGGCAATATTATCTAACAAGTCTAGCTGCGAGTCGAAAATTTTGCCTTTTAAGAGATCGTATGTACTACAAAGAAAAAGAACAAAAGTACAGGTAGCTAAAACAACCAAAAGACCTAACAAATACAGTAAAAACAGACTTTACAGTTTTGTCGCCGTATAAATGTTATGCTATTCGTGGGAAATAAATGTCCTCTAATTAGCTTATTTCATCGCTCTTAAATATTATGTGTTATTTCAATTATAACTGTTCAGTCTTTCTTTAAAAGAAACTAACTAATCAATGAAACTTTACATATTTTTTTATTCAACTTAATTATTACAACTACTTAAAATGGTAAATAAATAATAATATCCTAAATGCTAGTTACCTCTAACGCCAAGGGACCACGCGATAGTTCTGAAGAGCCTCGTCATATGTATAACTGAGATCAATTTCCTCGTGACGCAACACCCCCGAATCCAGAAGTCGACGCAGGATCATGGCAGTGCGCGCATTAAATGTATTGCCATACAAATTTAATTTCAACACACGCGATGGCTTCTTGATGGTCAGGAGGATGAGATTAATAGCGCTCGCATCGATATCATTGTAGTTCAAAATCAATTCCCTTAGCATCCTGCACGAACTAAAGCGCATGGCGATCCAGCCTCCACCATGCCTCCCAATGCCATTGCCACTGATGTTCAAATAACTGAGCATGCCTCCCTTGGCAATCGCGCGCATAAGGAAGAGCGTTCCGTCGGCACCAATGCGATTATAGGCCACATCCAATTTGCGGAGTGAGCTCTTCTTGCTGCTCAGGTACTCAGCGATTGGTTCCATATCGTGGGCCACAAACTCGCAGTGCTGCAGAGTCAGATTCACCAGTTGGTTCTGCATCAGAAGCGTGCCAACCAACGACATTATCTTCTCTGTGTCCAGCGTCAGCTTCAGACCCAATATACGACTAGCATTCAAGCTGATTATGTTCTCCGCCTTGTGCACTCCGTCGGCAATCAGAGCAAAGTTGTACTGCGTTATGTTGCAACACGCAACGTTCAGATGCCGCAGCGTCTTCGTGGCCACAAGGAACTTGTGCAGCATGCGCACATCGTACTCGCTGAGCTGAGTGCCTGGCAAGATATCGCATTGAAATCAATTGAACAAGAATGCGTTAAAATGTAAGTATTCAAAAACTATCAAGTTGATAACTTGTTGTGTAACAGCTCTTATGTACTTGTATATTATAATAATATTCATATAATACATATTATGCTTAAACTAGATACTGATATAATCTTAATCTATATATTCGACTCATGTAGTGTGCAGCTGCGTCTATCAAAAAGAAAACCAAGAAAGGAATGCTAACGTCGAGCAGGCCCAACTCTTAAATACCCTTAACCAGGCCACAAACGGGAGTTATAGAAAATCGCGAATAGCGGAAAAATGGGGCGGTGCATCGGGATAAATTAAGAAACTTGCCCTTTCTCGGGCGTAGTTGGTTATTCTAGCTCTTATACTTTCTGAGATCCTTGCGTTCATACAGGCAGACAGATGGACAGACAGACGGACATTGACTCGGCTTGTCATCTTGATCAAGTATATATATACTTTGTGGGGTCTGCCACGCCTCCTTCTGTGTGTTACATGTACTCTCGCATAAAACTAATATACCCTTTTACCCTTTGGGTACAGGGTATAAAAATGTGATTATAATTTCTAAATATTATAGATTCTAAAATGAATGTCCAAGCTAACTACACATATAGCAGATTGCAACAAAATGTGTAGCCTATTTGGTAGCCAAATGGTAGAAGAGCTCTTCTATATATGTTTGTACTTATATACTTAAAAAGTCTGTATTAATGCAGATAATAATAAACTACATGCAATAACAAATTGCCACCTTCTTGTATGTTTAGAAATTTAAATTTGGCATTATTGCTTATTGTATGTGTAGAAATTACATTTTTATTTTATTAATTCCATTGCTTTTGTCTTACCTTCCAGGTTCAGGTCTACCACCATCATTTTGCGTACATTCAGTCGAAGCATTACGAAAAACTCACGAGGCAACTGCATAAGTCTTAGCTCTATTTTATGCAGCGGTATGAGGGATCGCACAAAATCCCGCAGCAGCGTTACATCCCAATTACTAACCACAGTGCTGGAAATCGAGGCCGAAAACAAATGGCGACGCAGCATAAAATTTACCACCGTGCGGAAGTCGCGAATGCAATGATATTTCCGGTTCATGCGCTCTTCAAAGTCCAGCCGACTAAACCGGAAGTGGCGATAGGGCCGCTTATCGTACTCGGTTTGCCAACAATATAGTAGCATGATCGTAAACAGGCGACCCTTGACTGGTGGCGGTGCAAGACAGCAGCAAGGATCGTAGTCACATGGCATATCACACATTTTGCGTTTGTGTTAGTGTATTTTAAAATGAAATCAAAATTTAGACAAGAGTTCTAGGTGAAACGTACAATCCTATGGCTACTATACAAAATTGGTAATTACAGCATAATGTTCGATATAACATCCAACAGTCGAGCTTTAAAAACATAAACAGGACAAATAATCAGCCAATTAGTTGCATTCCCTGAAGAACAACAAGATTATAAATCATTTTTGTTGCCTTTTACTTATGTGACTTTGTTTTAAAATTAATAAAAATATTAAATAACAACTGGCACCTATTTTTAGTTTTTAAATACGAAAGATGTTTCTTAATTATTTTTGTTTTTACTTGATCGAAGCCCTCCATTCTGGGAGTCATTTCCATAAAATGTTGCTAAGTTCTTGCATGGAATTCTTCGAAACCTGAATTTATACCGTTAGTTAGTTTCTAGAAGTTAGAAATTTGAGCTCTAAGACACTTATATATTGCAGTATTTAAGGCACGGTTCGCTTTTAAAAATTTTAATATTTGACATTCTTGCATAAATACAGATGAATACTGATACGCTGACAACAACGAAAATCTTACATTAAAACTAGTATACCCTTTATCCTTTGGGTAGACAGGTAATAAATACAAATTATGAATTCTGTTTTTACACGGTAGATTAGTTCCAGAAACAACCGTGTAAAAAAGACACTGATCATATGCAAAAATAGGTGATTGGCTGCTTATCTCTAATGAAATATATATGCAATTTTTAATTTTCACACCGTGTTATATCCAAATCGTGTAAAAACAGAATTAGGTGTATACTGCTCATCTCATATGTATGTATGTTTGTTTGTATGTATCATTAGTGCGGCCGCAGGTCCACATTTTAGAGAGCGAAGCAGCATAAAAGCACGCGCCCGAAAGTATGCCACATAAAATGTGTACCGCACTGCTAATGGCACCAACTTAATCGGCCTCCAGGCCCAAGTATTCAAGCCATGCGAGCGAACACACCACAAAAGACAGACTAATATATAAAAGGTTACTGACTGACTCGCGAGACGACTGATTCAAGTTATTAGCATAGTTTGGCGAGCAGCAGAAGCAAAAAACGCGCACACATATAAGGGCGGAAATTACCATAAACGATATTTCATTCATTTATATGCCATTTTCATGGCTGCTCCAGAATGAATTCATTCTAAACGAGCACGTGACACAGACAGTCGGAGCTTAAGCACTAACTCGACATGTTGCACAATTTAATTGGCCGGCCTGCAACGTTCCAGCACGTGCTGACTGCCCTATAAATGCGTAGCGACTTCAACTGCAACTGCAACACCCAACAACCCAAAACTGATATTTTTATTTATATACCCGTAGCAGCAACTGAAGCAACTGAGACATAGGTAGAGACTCTTGGCTCATTATGCAGGCATGTATGATATTTTCACCATTTAAGGACTTGAAGCATCTTCATTTATTTTATTGCCATTTTCAGTTCGAACATGCGCTGCAATAAATTGCGACAATTCTTAAAATAAACATGCTTTGATGGCACTGAGTTGAAGTAATGCAGTTAAGATTTTCCGGTTGACTTACGAGCGCGCGCGCACACAACAACATACACACACACACACACACAAACACATACTACATATGTATAAATATATACATATTAGCTCATCAATGTGCCTGTTAAGTTGAAAATTCTAGTGCAACAGGTGCCATTCAATAGACAAATGCAGCCATTTGCAATGGTACGTAGAAAAAGCTGAAAAATGCAACGTAATGAAATATTTTTCACTTTTACTACCACCCTGTTAACTGGTTGATTTCTATACACGCACATACGTACATATGTATGTATATGCAGTCTACCGAAGACTCGCACTCAGAATGGACATGACGACAGCAGTAATTATGCATTAATTTATGGCAGCATTCAGCAGACAAGAGACAGACAGCCAGGAGCCAGGCAAAAACAACTAAAAACAAGTAGAATGAAAACTTTATACCGTAGACAGTATAGAGTTGTCTGTAGCTTGTCTGCACACATTCGCCAGACCGTTTATGATTGCTCTTGTGCGAGCGTTCTCGTGCAAAATGGACATGCAAGAGCTGAAGGTGTTTAATTATCGACTGTAGAAACAATTATACAGAAATGGCTACTGTTGGTTGGCAAGAGAAAAAAATGCCTTCAGCGAATGTCAGCCTTCAATGGTTGTTGAAAATATGCACTTTCGCAGCGTTTGGGAATTTTCATCACATCGCATTGTTTCCAAATAGAATAATTATTAGATTCCGTATAGCTACTTAACTGAATTGCATTTAGAAGGCAAATAATAATAAAAACCATACCGACACATTGGAAAACATAAATACTTGAGCATGTCTCTATGTATTTGTGGGTATTTATATGTGATGGCCAGACGCTTATAATTGCAGTGCTGCAGTCTCAGTTTACAGCTACTGTGCAGCAGACGACGACGACGACGACAACAACAGCAACAACAACAACAACAGCTATAACCAGAGGTAGACAACAACAACAACAACAGCAACTGCAACAGCAAATCGCATGTGCATATAATTTAAATAATTTTTAGAAACGCAAAGTGTGAAGCAAACTATATAGAAAACAAAAACAAGGAGGATAGAGAAAAAAGAACACAACTCATGTTTGGAACGCGCCTTGCAGCGCGAGCAGCCAAAGCGTCTGGGCCGTTTGTCTGCGCCTTATTCACCTGCTATAATGCATCCCGATCCAGCCAGGCCTACAGTCTATAGTCTACAGTCTGCAGTCTGCAGTCTGCTGCCAGACAGTCAAGTTTGGTCCATATTTGGATGCAGGCGTGCATTGAAGCGACGCACACGTCTCTACATACTCGCATACATAACTTAAGGACAAGCATCAACAGTAGCAGCAACAACAACAACAACAACAACACCAGCAACAACCGGCAACAGCATCGACATGAACATCGTCAACAACATGAGCCAATGCCTGCGATACTAAACGGTGAAGGGGACATTGAGGATGAGGATGAGGACGATGGTGCCCAACGATGACGGTGACAGTGACGGTGATGGGGACGACAGCGGCCTCGGCCTCCAGACAAACAGCAGACATGCACTTGTCTCCTACGGCTGGCTGGGTCAGCCGACGTTAATATGTACGCATGCATATACATACATACATATATGTGTGTGTGTATGAGGAGCGCATTCACTGTCAATTTGGACAATCAAGAAGAAGCGATACGCGTCTGCTCCATCCACGTCCCCGTCTGCGTCTGTGTCTCAATTTCTGGGCAGAAGAAGAAGCCAAACGATGGCACGCGAAAGGCCTAAAAACCGAAAACGAAAATGCACATGCGAAAATTAATATAAATACGCAACAAAAAAAAAAAAGAAGAAGAATTAAATAAATTAAAACAGCAACACAAGCCACTGCAACGGTAGCAGCCAACGGCAGACAACAACAATAACAAATTGGCTCCTGGTCTTTGCATTCCACATGCAATCTCAGACTACAATCACGACAACTGCATTCGGTGGCTGCAACGGCAACACCCTCGGTGCTTGGACACCAACAGCCAGCCAGCCAGCCAGCCAGTCAGCCAGCCAGCCAGGTAGCCTAGCAGACAGGCAGTCGACCAACAACCACAACAACAACAACAACAACCGGCTAACTAACCAAGTTATACGCTTGGCCAACGTCTGGTCTGCACTTGTGTTGTCTTGACACGTCTGGTTCGCTACTGATCTTATGCTGGACACACACACACACACACACACACACACACTGAACTGACTGACTGTATGACTGTATGACTGTATGACTGACTGACAAAGCTACACACATCGTGTATCTTTAATAGACTCTGCTTCTTCTTTTGGGCAAGCTTGCATGCCTGCCTCTGTGTGAATGCTGTCTGCAAGCTGCTTGTTATTTTGTGATCTCATGCATCGCCTTCTTTACATATGTATGTATATATGTACGTATGTACGTATGTAAGCATGTATGTATATGCATACCTTGCTGACTGCTTCCAACACAATTATGTTAATTATGTGTTTTATTGGTGCTTCAAAACATTTTTGGTACTTCACGTGTCCCCTCCCAGGGTATATTGAACTGCCTGGTACTCGACATGCTCGCGTGTAACATATTAATATAAGCCTATTCCATAATGCCTGAATTAATATGCATTTAACTAATTATGCTGTACCCGATCGCACAGTTAATTGGTATGTTAACATATTTCAGAATTCGCCTTTTTATCTTAACTTAAATCAGTACCACTAGTCAAGATTGTTTGTTGCTCTTGTCAGTTTATTATAAATCAATAGCTCTATCTTAAGTCATACATTAAATGGAATTTTTAGAAACATTACTATATTCGTTTTAACGGAAATAGTTTCCAACAACTTACAATATTTTGAATATGTTTCGTTTACTTTTCCTGAGCACGTTTTTAGAAACTAGTGAGCGATCCATGCAAGCTTGTTTATATTATAGAAAATATTAAGTTGATTTTCTAAAATAGAGATAAAGAATTCGGAATATATTTCGTACATTTATATGAGTTTCTTTTTCTAAGCCATTTTGAATATTGAAGCATCTAATAGCAGCTTTATTTGCAACTAATATTTAAATACTTTTTAATTACTTACATGTTTCAGGCAAGCCATAAACCAACAGAAGAAATTTAAATAATTTTTTCCTTGGTGTCAGCATATCAATGAGACAACCCGCAATGAATAATCAATATAAATGACTCGCAATAAAATGGATACAGGAAGATATGCGGATTAAAGAAACTGATTACCTGATTACTGATTAATGGCTACGACAAACAAAAAAAGACGTTGCATGCACTTCAAATAGAGAAAGGACGAGCTAGAAAAATATATCCTGTCTAGCTCAATCTAAAGTTTTGTTTATTAATATTATGAAGTAATTTTTAAATCATCCTCTCACATTGCGGGATTGCTATTAGGATATTAAGCTATGTAA